TTTAATATTTAATCATAATTTAATTTTTTTTTTAGATTTAAGAAATATCCTCATAATTCAAATACCGAGCTCGAATATCTGAAAGCCAGAAGAGCTTACGCCTTACAAAATTTATATAGAAATTCATTTTAGATATTTGAACAAAGAATTTATCACATTTTTTATTATTATATTATATTATATATATACATGGATATTGATTTAAAATAAATATTAGAGAAGGGGAAATATTATTTAGAAAATAAGAAATATTTTCTATAAAATATAAATTTTTTTTGTGGAGGATTCGAATTGATTTATCGTAATTAAAAAAAATATAACAACGGATAAACAATTATGATAGTTTATTTAGAAATGGATCTTAACTAGTAGTGTTGTTTAGAAAGCCAGATCTGGGTCTAATCGATAAATTTCCAAGCATTTCTGCCAGCTCTGAGTAAAATCTTTAGGCTTACATAACGTTATTTTGGTTTATAATCTTTCCGAACCGGGCTTTATAAGAACATTATACCTTACCCACTTTATAAATCTTGCTAGAAAAAAATGACCGGATTTATTCGAAACGACATCGCTAGCAATTTATAAATTATTTCTTTTTCCCGAACCTCCTGTCTGAACTGAAACACCTTTATTACGTATACTAGCTAATAATAATTATATTTTTTATAAAATTATTTAATATTGTAGAAAGTTATAATTAAAATATAAGAAATATTCTTTATTTCTCTCGAAAAATAAATAGAAATGTGTTCCAAAACAATCGTTTTTCAAACTTTGTTTTGGATCCCAACCTTAAAAAAAAAGAGGAAGAGATTAAAATTTCGAAATTTAAGATTCTGATATTATATTCCTAGAAACTTTCTAAGAAAAACTGGATCTAAATTTTGAGTCTAAAGAATTCACCAACAAAATGACTCTAGTTATTGACTCGGTATGAGAAGATTGCTGTAGCGGGAGGTGGGGGGGGGGGGGGGGGGGGTGGCACGCAGGGGCTCTATGGCCCCCTAGAAAGAGGAAAATAAATTTTATGAAATTTTTTGACAGCCCTCCAGAACGATTTCATTTATAATTATATTAAGTATTGGTATATAATAGATTTGATTTTGTTATTTAAAAATTAATTAGACTATCTAATTTTTTTGTTAAATGAGTACTCATTTATTTATCAGATTAGATTAATGTACATATAAATTATATATTTTCAATATGTCAGCTTGCAATCAAATTCTGTGTTAAAAATGGAATATCCATATCACTCTAAATGTCTAAATATTTAGCATTAACAGTTGAAGCTTAATTTATACCCTAATTAAATAAATATAATAATTTATTAATTGAAAATCAACAAATTTAATATTGTAATTAGCCGAGTTCAAAAGCACTAATCAACTATATTATTCATTTTTAAATATAATTACAATGCCTCAGTGGCGTCGAGAGCCTTTATAATATCAGGGGGCTCAACTAATTTTTATAGGTGGCTTCTTCCCCATATCCCACAATTTATGGGCCTTCGGCCCGTTTTTGTCAGGCCTTCTGCCGGGTATTACACTAATAGATATTCTCATGGTCCAAATAAGTATAAGATATTTTTTTATTTTAAAACAAAACCTTCAAATCACTATTTTAAAATATAATTACTCATGTTTTTTGGGAACTTGTAGTCCCACCTCCGTTTTTATATAATATTGTTTTATTTTATTTTATATTATTTTAATATTGATTTTATTTCTATATATATTTTTAATTAAAAATTCAAATATTATATAGCTTTTTATATATTTTATTAAAAGATATTTTTATGTAAAGTACTATATTGAATCATTTGATGGATGATATGTAATTTAGTTTAAATATGATAAAAAGTAAGTAGACATATAGTTGATAATCCTCTATTATTTAGATTTGGTTACAAAATATTAGGTAAAATGCCACTTTCACAGAAGTATTTGACAGTTATAGTATATATTACAGTTAATATTTTAAAATTTTTACTGATAAATGCTTTTGATAATAAATATAAGGAACAATTTGCATTCTATTAATTAATGCCATCTATATATTGAATATATATTATATAAAATAAAACATCTTATTATTCATCCCACAATGGATGAAATCTTAGATATCCTTCCTTCTCTTTTTTTACGTGTTTTTAGGAAAGCTATTTTTTCTTATTTGAAAAACAGTTTTGAGTTAACGAGTATATTCTTGACATTATTACAAACTACTATTATTTTAAAATATAATATACCAACTAGAGGTGATGCGACAATAATATATATCTTAATTGCTTTCATCACATCACTCTGGTCCTTATTTTCTAGTTACAGAATGTTTCATTTTTAATATGACATCCAAATAACTCAAGACATCAATATATTTGCATAATTATTTCTTGCAAAGATATTTTATTAGTGTTATTGTTTTATCAATTTATATAAAATAATAAATTCTGGTAAGAGTTTACATAGTGATTTTCATGGTTATGACTTCAAATTAACCAGCATCTATTATTTGCGTAGCTATGTATTTTAAGGCTATTACTCCTGGTGCTGAGAGCATTTGATTGAATAATTTAGATGAGCAATATTGGTCAACTGTCTTGTCGTTTATATATCATTAAAAATGGAAGATATTCATTTAACAATAATTTTCTCGAATACTTATCTAGCTTCCATAATGTCATCTAAGGGGGCTCTAACCACCATATAGGCTAATGATTTGGATTAGTCGTTTATATTATCCTCTTCAAGAATTATTGATTTGGTTAGGCCAACAAATTTATCCATATTAGCCAAATTAAATAAATTGTCTAAAATGGTAACACAACGTTATATAGTTTAATTTGACAATGTAGGTTGCTAAGATACCGCCCTGTGTTGTTTTTAAAGACCATTATCAATTAAGGCTAACCTTTTTTTATCACTTGTAATTTTTTAGACCAAAATTTCTTTCATATTTGCAATCGAAAATATTTAAAATAATAATAAATGGATAAATTTTTTGTGTTAAAAACATATTATATTTAATAATGTCTTGTATTGTTTTACTTTTATTATTTGTAGGCATAATAAATGGCAAAAGATGGAATTCAGAATAATTGGGCCTAGCTAATTTTGATAATTATTTCCGTTTTTTTTCTAACTTTTTGATTTTATTATTGTGAACTTTAGTCGTTTGATTCAGAATTAAAATCGAATAAACATATTTAAACAATTTATAATTTAAAATCCTTTAATATGCCCATTTTTCACTTGCAGTTATAGCCCCCAGGTGGTACACCCGACAGTGCCTTGTATTTCTATCTTTAAATTCTGATGCTAAATATAAAATTTCTATTTTTGCCTTATATGATTAAAAGGGGCGAAGGTGCCCAAAAACCCCAGAACAAGAATTTGTCCGATACTAAGAGAACTATAGTTTCGCCTTCGGGGAGGTCCTCTTTATCTATGCAGAATGTGGGTTCAAAAATGCGCGGGAGATTTGCCTTATCGAGAAACGTGGCATTTTTTGTCGTCTATTTTTGATGTACAATTGAGCTCGTGGCGCCAAAACTGTCTGCTTGATATGTGTATTGGTTTAAAAATGGTATGCCCAGGCGGAAACTGATTGCGTAACGAAATGAGTCGTCATCTTTTAAATTATTTAAGGTACTGTGATAGGAACCGAGCCAATGGAGCCGGAAGCGTTGAAATTAAGCATCCTGAGTAAGGATTTTTATTGGTGATTATCGCTCAAGTTGAGGAAAGCGAAGGAACGAGATACCTATCCTTGATCCCATTCTATTAACTTTGATGAATCTGGTTGAGGTGTATTTGGTATTACAATATTACTACAAGAAGTTGAAGTAAAGGATTATGATGATTTGTCATTTCATTTTCCTATGGTACATCTTCACTGAAATCTTAACACCTACATGTTTGCAATATATATTTTTACCCATTATCTTCCAAAAAAAGTTCGAACAGAGCACTTATGGGAATCGCTACTTTCTATGGCACATCTTCAATGAAATCTATTTAACTGCAAAGGAATACAAAAAAAGGTCGGAAAATAACGATTATGACAATTGTCACTTCTGTGGAACATCCTTAATGAAATTTTGATTCAAACTTCAAATGAATTATAAATATAACTGTTATAACTATTCAAATATTGTTACTTAGTTATAATATATATTATTTTTACCAATTAGCTTTCAAGAAAATATTTTTTAAAAAAAGACGATTTTATCAAAATTTATTTAAATACAAAATTTTTAAAATCATTAAAATAAAAACGATTATCATAATTAGACCCATATGATTTCATCATTTTATTCCCATAATCATAAAAATGATAGATTATTTTATAGCACATAAATCGCCAAAGATTAAAATCACAAAAGATTAAAATCAGTCCAAAGATTAAAATCGCCAAAGATTAAAATCGCCAAAGATTAAAATCGCCAAAGATTAAAATCGCCAAAGATTAAAATCGCCAAAGATTAAAATCGCCAAAGATTAAAATCGCCAAAGATTAAAATCGCCAAAGATTAAAATCGCCAAAGATTAAAATCGCCAAAGATTAAAATCGCCAAAGATTAAAATCGCCAAAGATTAAAATCGCCAAAGATTAAAATCGCCAAAGATTAAAATCGCCAAAGATTAAAATCGCCAAAGATTAAAATCGCCAAAGATTAAAATCGCCAAAGATTAAAATCGCCAAAGATTAAAATCGCCAAAGATTAAAATCGCCAAAGATTAAAATCGCCAAAGATTAAAATCACAAAAGATTAGAATCGCTGAGGATTTTTATAATGTCAAAACGGATCTCAAATCATGTGAGATTTAGTTTACTTAGATCAAAATCTTAGAAAAGAAAAAGAAAAAGAAAAAAATCAAATTATGATGCAAATTTCAAAATTCATGAACAAAACTTTAAAAAAAAATACAAGTTTTGGGATGAACAAACTTAGTAAGAAATTTTTTAAAAAAACACAATTTCAAAATGTTTGATTTTTGGATATTATATTTCTAGAAATCATTTTAAAATTATCGCAAATATTAATATTTATCTAGTTTAAGGAACAAAATTTTTAGGTAAATTCTATAAATATATTATTTATTATTATTTGTAGTATCACTATAAAAGAATAGAGTTTAAACATCATTCTGTTAACACGTGTGAAATGAAGATCGGAATAATCTTTTTGGAAGTTCTCCTCATTTTGTGCATCGGATATTTCCGTTCCGGAGAATGCAGGAAATGTAAATGCTCAGGTTAAAACTATTTCTATATTTTAAATTAGTATTTTTATAATTTTTTTTTCAAGATTAAATTGTATAAGACCTAATAATAATGTTGTTTACCGGCTCGAGTTAGCCGGGTTTTTAAAACGGTTCGAGTTAACCGATTTTTTAAAACGGCTAACTCGATCTTTTACCCAAAAAAACTATCGCCTAAGCCTAGATATTTCGATAATGTATATCTAGATCATTGTTCCTTCTATGAGTGAAATCTTTAGCCGTTTTTAAAAATCGAGCCTTTTAACAACACTAAATAAAATAATATTAATAATAATACAAAAAAAATTATATAAATACGATTCTGAAGATTAAAGATCTGAAATGAGCGACTTTTTTAGCCCGACAATAAGCACAAAAACAGTTTATAAAAATTTAAATATTGTAATATAAAATATATAATTATTACTTATCGAGTAGTTACATTGTTTTTGAGAGATATTTTTGTTTTGACACTCAAATTTGTATATATGCGCTAAGGACCAATGCGTTTTTTTTCGCGGAATTTTTTATTTTTTCAACTTTGAATCATTAGTAGAGCGTAGTTTTTTTTGAAAAAAAAATCTAATTTTTACCAGTGTTTAGCATATAACTATCTTAGGAATTATAGCCAATTTTAATATTAATCCTTGAACCAAAATCTATGGGAAAAACCTAATAATTATATTGAGTATAGAGATTTATGGCGAAAATTGTCTGAAATTATTAGGGTTAAGCATTCCTAACAGGATGGAATACATTTCCGGTTTAAATAAAATTTTTTAAGTTCAAAACAAATGAGGCTTCGCTGAATCAATGATTTGAAGTTGAAAAAAATTACGCATTGCCAGACATAGCACAGTGACGTTAACATACACACAACCGGTTAAAAGATATATATAAGATTTTTTTATCGATAATTTCTCAATGAAGAATATCTAAGGGATTGATTAATAGGAACGGTATAGTAATAAAATAGAGATAAATTCTATTCAACCACACGTGAAAACAGTATCTTAATTGTATTTTTAATATATCGTTGCATTTTGAAATGTATCTTTTAACAATTTCTGCTTTGATATAATTACCGTAATCATAAATAAATTTTTTTCTTTTTTTTCTGTGGACTTAATTAAAATCGTTAATTTTAAATCAGTGGGTCCGAGCTGGAGAGACTTCAAGCCGCTAAAGAGATTGGAAAGAGGATGCTATTTTTGCAGGTATGAAGTTTTTAATTTTGACATGTAATAGCCTGACGTCACTTCATCAGGTGACACTTTGTCATGCGACATTTGATTTGACGTCACTTCATCATGTGACACTTTATCATGTGACACTTTATCATGCGACATTTGATCGATGGTTTATCTTTCCCCTAATTTAGTTTTAAATTTCAAGAAACATTTGTTATAATATCAAGGAAAACGAGACAAGTGGACACCTTGATTGATTGGTCATCCCCTCAACTTGTTATCTGTAGATATATGATTTAAAATTTCCCAAAAATGTGTATATTTAAATTTGGCATAACCACTCGTGCTAATGTTATTTTATTGGATCGATTTATATAAGAAAAAATTTTTTTTTATATGTGCACCACGTGCAAACAGTATCTTAATTGTATTTTAAATATATCGATGCATTTGAAATGTATCTTTTAACAATTCCTGCTTTGATAGAATTACCGTAATCATAAATAAATTCTCTTCTTTTTTTCTGTGGACTTATATAAAAATTTTAAATTCAGAGGTTCCAAGCTGGAAAGACTTCAAGCAGCTAAAGAGAGTGGAAAGAGATTCAGAGGTTCCAAGCTGGAAAGACTTCAAGCCGCTAAAGAGAGTGGAAAGAGCATGTTATTTATTCATATGCAGGTATAAAGTTTTTAATTTTGACATTTAATAGCCTGACGTTACTTCATCAGGTGACGTCATGCGACATTTGATCTGACGTCACTTCGTCATGTGACACTTTATCATGCGACATTTGATCGATGGTTTATCTTTCCCCTAATTTAATTTTCAATTTCAAGAAACATTTGTTATAATATCAAGGAAGACAAGATAAGTGGAGACAGGGATTGATTGGTCATCCCCTCAACTTGTTGTCTATAGATATATGCTTTAAAATTTCCCAAAAATGTGTATATATATTCTGTATATATATGCCATGTTTGAGAAAAATTCTCGTCTCATTGGCTGATAAATATTTCAATTGAGTAATCTAACTACATTCAATTTGTTATTTTTCGTGATGAGGTTGGAATAGGGTTGAGGGGGGGGGGGGGGGGGGGGCTCTAAGAAACCTCAGAGTTTATTGAGGCCTAAAAGTTTTTTGTTGTTTGTTAAAAGAGTGAGATAACTTCAGCATTATGTAGGTGATGATAAAGTTTACTATTCTCTAAGAAAAACTTGTTCACATTTGATTAGAAAGTTTCTTTTTAACCAATGATGGTCGATATAGGAAGTTGGATAGGTTTTAAGGTAATTATAAATATCATTGATAACATCGAGATTGAATTTACTTGAAAATTTTAAAATTTTAAAATTAGGATACCAACCTTTAACAAACTAGATTGATAAAATAAAAGTTCGATTTCAAAATTTAATTTCGAAAATCAAATTTAATACCAAAAATTAAATTTACAAGAATTTCAGTAATAAAAAATCAAACTGCATGATAGTTTAACTCTCCCTATCAATTTACATTAATCAACTCCCATCTTAACACTATTTATCAAAAGGCGGAGTTGATCTATCATAGTAATATCTTATCCAGAGTCAGAGGTATGTGGCAAGGGGAGTTAATGTATCATGCTACATTCCAAAACATCAAGAAATCTAATATGTGAAAACTTTTAAAACTTTGTCCTAAAAACACGAAAATAGCTCTTGTTTTTAATATAAAATATTTACTAAATTTTATCATCAAGTTTCCCTTTAAAAAAGTTTTAAACCCTTTTAAAACAAAAATTAGAATATAATTTTGGCAACCTTAAATGAATATGCTTAATAATCATTTAAATTTCTATTACAATAAAAAGTCTATGGAAAATAGCCAATCATTGTATTTTTGCTTACAGCTGTTATAATAACCTTTGATATACATGAATATTTGCCCACAAAAATCAAACTTAAAAATTTCATCAAGCATAGGTTAAAATCGATAAATAAATATTTCCTTTAAATTTTTAAATTGTTTAAAAAAATTAATTTTCAAATTCAAATATTTTTATAAATTAAAAATAATAAGATATTTTAATAAATATTTAAAATTATACATATCTAAAAAAAATTATATACCTTACCTTAAAACGTACATATATATAACAATATTTATTAATAAGACCATTTAAAAAAAATCTATTTAGGTTAAGGGTGGGGCTTAATGGCCCATGTATAGATATACCGTTGAATCGGCAAATTTGGGTTCGATATTCTAAACTAAATTGTTTACTTCTCTTATTCAATGTTATCTAGAATATCTCAAAAAAGGTATTATTTTGTGTCGCCATCTATCCATAATTATTTTGAAATTTTTACCCATCATCCACTTAAAAAAAATTGAATTCAAGTATCACAATTCGAATGTCACGCGATAAAATGGTTGAGTGATTCGATCAAAGTATCACGTGACAAAGTATCTCGTGATCAGGTGTCGCGTGATCTTGTGTTCGTGAAATGATATCACCTAATCTATCTAATACAAATCATATCGTTAATTTAGTATTCATTATTTAATATATATTTTTTATATATATATTTAGGAAAAATGATGATACTAATGAACTGGAATATCTAAAAACCAGGAGATTTCGCGCCTTAGAAAGATTATATGGAAATTCATTTGAAGATTTTTGAACAAATAATTTATTACATTTTATAATATAACGTATATTATATATTATATTGTGTTTTTAATTTTATTTATTTGTTTTTTAAAAAAATAAATATTTTAAAAATATTTTAAATTATCTTCAAAAGTATAATGAGGAGAAATTAATATTTTAGTGGATTTTGAATTGATTTAACGTAATTAACAAAAAAAAAATAACAGCTGATAACATTATGTTTATGCTTAAAAATTTTACAAATTTATTGATTCTCTATGCAACCAAGTTCCTGGTAACAATCAATTCAGAGCTGCCCCCACCCCCTCAAAAATAATACATACCCCCCCTCGCACCTTCTTTATAAATTTTATAGAAAAATTGACGATATTCATTCAAGAATATATCTTTATCGATTTACAAACTATTTCTTGCTAATTACGTCTAATTGATTTTTGAATGATGGAAAAATAATAAAAGTTTCTATCTTGCTGAATCCCCTGTCAGGAATATAAGAATTGCGATCTAATTTCTAAATAGTCAATATTTTTTACTGGCATCCCTTTCCCTTCAGAGATTAGCATATTTTCCCATGATGCTAGTTTACTTATAACTAAAGTTTTCTATTAAAATACTTATTATAGTAACCACCGGTATATCGAACTTTTAATATCCATAGTCTTCAATAAACTATACTCACGAGAATTTTATTAACTTATCATATCGAATTCGCGGATACGAATCTCGAATAAATAAAATCACAAAACGAAAAACAATCTGGAATAAGAAAAAAGATAACTAGTACCCTATTACAACCCCTATTTTTAATACTTGTGAGAATCATATGATTCTAATAAAACTCAGCCTTAAATCCTGACACAGCAACTCAGACTCCCCCATCTATCAAATCGAAAGGAGTTCCATTTATCTCAGCCAACGAACAAATCAGAAATTGTACCAGAGCTGATATGTTAAATAGATAAATAAATATATTTATTGATAAAAATTCCTTAGATTCAGAGCTTTTCACTACCAATCCTATTAACAAAAAAAAATAAGTCTCGTAATTAATTCATAAGAAAGAGCTTTGATTCAGTGTCCATATCCCACCCTTCTTCAATATAGAAAACTTTGAATTTTTAACTAACCCCTCCTATAATCAAAAAGTTAACGCTCACCCCTATTAACATAATAAAGACTAATAAAGGATAATGGTTTATTAGAGCGAAGGATCCTTAATGAGACACAACTTCAAAAAGTACCAAAAAGTCCTAGTGATAGGATTGGCGCAGCCCTTCATAGATGCCATCAAGTACAAGTGCACATAAATATCCCTTTAGAAAACAACTTGATGATAAAGGGCTGCATCAATCGTATCACTTGGAAGACCAAAACAGGTTTATTAAAATTTTAACCTTTGAACGTAAAATCAGCCACAATAGACTCCCTGAAGTGAGGGGATTCCAGAATTGTCGGTCCCACCCCCCGTGCCATTCTTTTCTCTCTTTTCATCCACTCAATATATGTTCACTTCGTTCACTTTATTTGGAATCAGGAGAATAGTCACACTTTATAAATTGGATATTGTATATGTATAACTTACTCCTAAACATATATAATATGCGACGAATCACATCTATCCATACATATTAGTAACATATATTTTATATTCGGTTTTTAAGCTATCTCCTGATATAGCATTCCCTAGAATAAATCATATATCTTTGAGTATGATTCTTCTAGTAACAAGTAGTATAACTGAGTCAGGCTGTGCTACCGATTGAACTCTATATTCGCTCTTACCCTCCTTAATTATATACCCCTCACCTTCTACATACAGACTTAGCAAACTTAAGCCTCCATATTGCGGGATCCTCACTAGGTATAATAAATTTTATCACTACAATTATTACTCTTCGCCCTATTAAAATGCCCATAGAAAAAAATATCTCTATTTTTATGGTTCTCACTTATTACTGCCTTTTTACTTTTATTAAGATTGCCTGTTTTAGCTGGAGCTCTAGCAATATTAATTTTAGATCGAAATATTAATACCTCATTTTTTGATCCAGTTGAAGGAAGGGACCTCACTTTATTTCAACACCTATCTTGATTATTTGGATATCCAGAAATTTTTATTCTTATCCTATCCGTCTAAAACATTCCCTTTTATGCTTTTTGGGCTGATAATATATTTTTGATATTTTACACAAAAAAATATATATCAGAGACCTACAGGACCTGCCTTAAACCCAACTCAGCATGGCCCACTTATTTTTATTTATTTAAATATAACGAAAATTTTTAATTAGAAACTCAAGTTGTTATCAGTTCCATAAACCGTAGTTAGGGACTCGAGGTCACGTAGTTTATATAATTATCTTGACTTAATAGGGGTAGGTGGGGGGGGGCGACAACGCTGGCATCCCCTCCCTTCTGGGAATTTATTGCGGAAGATTTTATGCTTAAAGGTTTATATTTTGATAAACCCGTTTTGATCTTCAAATTTGGTACTCATCGAAATTTATGATGACCCAAAGGATCTTTGTTAGTGGGAATATCTTTTTATACTTTATTAGAGAGGAGGATTCTTGGGTCAGCACAAATCCTAAAAGGACAAAATAAAGTCCTAATGATAGGATTGATGCAGCCCTTCATAGATGCCATGAAGATTCGCCTTAGCTAATTTTTGATAATTTACCCCCCGTTTTTTTTTTGTATAAATTCACGTTTTTTTTTGGTAAAAAAAAGCCTTGATTAGAACTCTAATCGTTTGATCCAGAATAAATATCAAACAAAAATATCTAAATATTTTATATAATTTGGAATCCATTAATTTGCCATTTTTTGCACTTGCCGTTATAACCCCCTCAGATGTATCTAGATTTCTATTTTTGCTTTACATGATTAGAAGGAGTAAGGGTGTCCATGCAAGTAAAGTTCTAAACCAAGAGTCTATCCGATACATAGGGAATTTGCCTTCTAGGAAGTTTCTATTTATCTATACAGAATGTGGGTTCAAAAATGCGCGGGAGATTTGTCTTTATAATATATTAGATTATTTTTCCAAATTAGCTTTCAAGAAAACAAAAAATAAGAAGATTTATTAAATTTAAAAAAAATTATTCATATAATAACGATCATATAATTACACCCATATGATTTCATCATTTCATTCCCATAATCAAAAAAAAATGATCTTCACGAATGATACGATCATAGTAGATTATTTTTACTCACCGAAGATTGAAATGGCTGAGGATTTTATATTTTCAAGAGGGATCTAAATCACGAAAGGTTTGCATGGATCAAAATCTTTGAAAAGGAAAAAAAAAGGATCACAATTCGACTCATATATGAGTTGGCTAATAAACACGCTTCGAATTGTCTCGGAATCGTTGGGAACACATAAATGTCCTTGACAATAAATACCACAATTTCGATACAATTTTTTTAGAGCCCTAAAAAGGGGATTTTATTATAAAATCTACAAATAATTATTACCAAATAAATTAAAATCAATCGTATTAGAATGGCCTTGAATCATGTTTCGATCTTATACAAATATTTAAATATGCGAGTTAAATTAACGAAGAGAAAATTAGGGAAATCACTGTAGAAGGGTAAAATTTGTAGATAATTATTGAGGAGATAGTTAGAATAGTTGAGGGTTCATAAAACCAAATTTTAAACCCTATTGAAGTTTAATTTTTCTAACGAAGTAGGGCCTACCTTTTAATTTCATGATAATTATTATGACATTTGTAAAGGAAATTCGATGACATACAATAATACCTAGATTGATGACGCATTCATTAAGAGTGTACATCAATGAAAAACAGCTGGGGACACTATATTGGTTACCCATATTATTATAGAAGACGCATGACTAGAATAGCCTGATCATCGAGATAATAAGGAAGCAAGTTATCAATTTATTATTAGTTTTTAAACATGAAAATAATTACCATATGGATTATCGAAATGGCGGCTCCAGCTGATTTGCATTCAACGACTCTTTCAAATGCATCGACAGTCTAGGTATTATTATATTTCATTGAAAAAATCAGCTCTTTTCAGGTATTTTTTTATATTTGTTTAATGAATGTCGTACATTGGGGTCCTAGGCAAATTTTAAAAAAATTATTAAATCTTTAATATGCTTCTTTTTTTAAAAAATAATATATAATTCAAAATATTTTTGATCACGTGATATTTAGGTCGGTCATGTTTTATTGGGGCTGAGTTCATAGTGTAATACCAAGCGCTATCAGGATCAAAACAGGCTGTCATATTACTTTAGATGGTTAATCTTATCTGGATATCTTTAAATCAATCGAATTCTACTTCATATCTCGAAATGATGATCAGCCGTGGGAATTTATTGTCAGTAAATCTGGCGTAGAACAGAACCCTAATGTTCTAACATCCCTTCTAATAAAATACGATATATTTTATACCTTTTATTAATGATTTATGTGATACGCGCAAGCCTGGAGTCAATCCCAATATCCTCTCCGGAACATTATAAATCTTCAGTTAAAAAAATTTCTATTTCTCAAATTTATAAAATGTACTGCCCTAAAATTATTCAATAATGACCAAATTTTCTCTAAAAAAAAATATAAAAAATTCCTATTAAAATTAATATAATTATTCGTAACTCGGAGTTTCCAGTTATAACCCGAACCCAAGGATAACCGGAAGTTAATCAGTTTAATTTTAGGCTCGGTCCGACCCGGCCAAGCTCGCCCCTAGTATTTAAAAAAACATTTTTAGACCCAGCCCGGGTTTATTTATAACAAGTTTTGTGTGAAACCTTAGAAGAAAAAAAATAATCGATTTTTGGTATTATATTCTAGAAATCATTAATTTGTATTTTTTAAAATTTAATTTTATAAATATTCATAATATTTAATATTTATCCAGTTTTTTTCAAGAAATTCGACGACAAATTTATAAGGTAAATTATATATATATTATATTTATTATTATTTGTAGTAAACTCAACTATAAAACACTTTCATTTTTAATTTTAATACTGAGTCTAAATGCCAATTCTACCATTAGGATAATCATTATTAGAATCCCGAAAACTAACTAGAACTAAGATATCATCATCCCGGGAAACTAAATGTACTCTTCCGCTATGGCGGGAACATGTAGGAAATGAGAATTTTTCCTTTAAATTTCGAGAAACAGTAATAATTGAAAAATTGCCCTCGACATTTAATAAAAAAAATACCCATTTTTTTAGTAAACTATTATTGCTAGAATTAATTAAATGAGTTCCAAGACATTGTTAATACTACCTTTTACTTATATTAAAAGGTTAGAAAAGATTTATTTTGTTCTTTAGCCGTTTCATCATTTTGGCGATAAAATAGTTGGACTTGTTTCGAGAAAAAAAAATGATCACTACCTGGAGGATCAAAACGACAGCCTAGGGCAAAGTTTATTTTGCATTCAGTGTCTCGGGGTAACACCACCCCCCCCCATCCCCAATATTTAAAATGTTGAGTTTAGGATAATCTTTCTTTCTTCTGTTACAAATAGTTTTCTATACGTTCATATTTTAATGTAGTATCATTCTACTAAACTACGACTAAATTTGAAACCCTTTTTTTTTAAATCATCATAATATATATTAACCAAACTCCATATATCAGTGCTGAATTTCTGCCATTTCTCCGACTATTAGTTAACTGCTGGTCCTGACTAATTTTCTCTAGAAAAAGAGGCCTCAGAGTTTAGCTCCTCCTAACACATAGACACGTGATAGTTCAAATGCATTAGCCTAACCTCTTGCTCATTCATTACATCACTATGATGCCTTAAATATCCGTATACATACCCAATAATGGTCAGTGAGATTCGAACCAGCAATTTTTTACTTGATTTATGTACAGCCTATTGACCAATCAACTGACATTATAAAATATCAAACTGCTAAGCATTATTTCACGCATGTGCACGGTTATAAAGATTTGTCCGGAGATGATGCAGTGTGGCTGTGCCATTAGCTAAATAATTTTTTTAGTGAAAATTGACACCTATCCTATGTGTGTAAGAAATTAATATTTTTGTAACATTTAAGAAAATTATTAAAATTTGGGCTTTTGTTCGAAGTTTCTGGGCAGTTTATTTTTGTCTGTCAGTGGTAATCTTGCCTGGATCTTCATCGGGGATTCTTCTGACCGATTACTCACTCAAAAGCACACTAAAATCTAGCCAAAACAAAAACTGACTATCGATCGAGACAAGTAAAAGAAGTTAAAAGTCTAAAAAATTTTAAAAATTTGTTAAGAAGAAGAAAAGAAGGAAAAAATATGAATATAAATTTTAATTTTTTTATATTATTATCCCATAAATACTTAGAAAATGAAAAAAAAAAAAAAATTTTTCAAATAGAAAACAATAAAGGCCTACCTGCGAAATGACATTTGGAATTATTTTTCTGGAGATTTTGCTTTTCACGTTCATTGTCCATTTCCCTACTGGAGAGTGTTGTAACTGCAAAGGTATAAAACTTATTTATTTTTATTCAGTTAAAGCTATCTATAGCCTGAGTTGGGGGTAATGTGGTATTTTCAGGTTATACCTGAAACGAGAAATAATTTTTAAAAATCTTTTGCAGGATCAATTTAATCCCAAATTCTTTTTAAAGATCCGCCTCAGATCCCGAATCTGACCCAGTCTAACACAATGTACGTGACTCGAATTCGGTTGAATGGCACTCGAATTTGATTGAATGGCACTAGGCTTGAGATGTCTTCATTTTGTCGGAACACAACAAATTTTTATTTTAAGAATGGTTGTCAAGGTTGGGGCATTTCAGATATCTCAATTTAGATTAAATCTATCGTGAGCTTCTTTAGGCCAGTTAGGGCCATACCAGAACGTTCTAGTGTTTCTAGCGCACATCCTTAAAAGATAGTAAATAGGCGCATTGGTATTTATATATTATAGACACTCAACCCTGTTAAAATTATTAATTTAAAGTCTTAATATTTTTTTTTCAATAATGGCAAACGCCCATTTCCATACTGGAACGTTCTGGTATGGTCTTATCTTTTGGTTGAGACCTAATGAGAACGCTTGAGAAATTGGAGAGCTTTAATTCGTGGAAAGTTATAGTTAGGACTCAGCAAGGATTCTGAAAAGGGGGGGGGGAGTATATCGTGATTACTCGTGAGGGAATCTAAACCTAAAAGTGGAGAGGGCTCTAAGTTAAACACTGATCGGTTTTTAAATTTTATAATAGGATAATTTTGGAAAATACGAATTCATCGAGCAGAAAAATCTTAAAAATATATTGGGTTAGCATATTTTTTGAATTTGAGCATCCTAGATATTGAAAGGTCTAATGATACCTTGAGGTCATGAAGCTCGCCGTTTTAGCAATGTTTTCTATTGGCTAGATGAATAATGAGAGGATTTGGGAAAGTGAGAGGGGAGGGGGGGGGGGGGGTTGAAGATAAAAATATGTTTATTAAATGTATAATGTATACGAGTATAATAAAAAAAAAATATGTTAGAGAACAAAAGAAATAAAACGTGAAGTTTATGAAATACATTTGTGATTTATATATGTAGAAAACGAACATTCTGGTGTCAATAGATATATAATAAGAGAGGATCCTTTTATGATGATTAACACAGAATGTTATTGGTAATTGAGTTGCATCGTAGTCATAGACCTAACCCTGAATATCTAATATTAGGCGATATTTTTAGCCGTTTAAAGCCAATTTTTAGCCGGTTAAAAAAATTGACTAAATAGAGATTTTTAGTCGAAAAACTATCATTTTGGTCTCGGAGTTTTTCTTAAAATGTATGGCCGCTCAAATTTGATAGAAACCAATATATAAATTACAAGGCTTTAATGCTAACTAATTTTCTCAGACACGTGCCCATAGATTGAGACCGAGTTTGCAGATATTTAGTCATTTAGCTATAGTTATAACCCCAACCCTAAATTTAACCTCCCTCCCCCTTCCTTTGCGTTCATATGATTTATGGCACTTTAATTATTTAGTATAATAACTTTTATATAATTATTTTAGTTTGTCCAGGTCTAGCTAACTGTAGAGCGAATTGTGTTGACGGAGAAAAATTCTACATCAATGGTTTTTGTCAATGCTATTGTAAAAGTAATCGTATAGCTTTTATTGTATTTTAATAGTGATTTTAGTTATGAACTGATCGCTAAAAAATTTTTTTTGTTAATCACTTATAACACTGTAAGCAGTATTGAGGGGCTGGAGGAGAGGGCTTTCCCTTCTTAGCATAACGCTAATGAATTTATGTATATTACTTTAAAATTTCTTGAAATCATACTAAACCTGAACTGAACAATTAACCGACATTAACCGTTATTATCTAGAAATCGAACCCTAAACCTTTAAAGATTTATGTGAATAGGTATGAATCTATTTTGTCTGATAATTGATGGCATAGGTAGCAGTAATTTTATTTTATTAGATATTGTTGTGTTGCTACTTTGACGAAGGCCAATCAACCTAAGCTATGGCCTATAAGTGTTTCTTGACCCTAAAAATTGATTCTTTCTCCTTGTTGATAATATATATTTTGACCAAAGAGAATAATTGTGCATACAGCAAAATATTATACTTTTTTAGGGGAGGATAGTGTTAAATTTTTTTAAAAAAATGTGCTTCTTTTAATATGTTTAACCATGCGAAAAAGTTCAAATGGATTTTTCCCGATTATTCTTTTTCCAACCGAACACGAATCATGAACGGTTATATTTATTCGACCCGAAACCGAACTGATATTCGTAACGGTTCTTATAAAAATAAAATAATTAAGAGTGTCAATACGCATATGATCCGCTTCGAAGATATATGTGCGCAAGATCGAAATTCGATGAAAAGGGGTGTGTCCACTATGTTTGCACGTATGAATAAACATTTAATATAGATTTATGCTCTTTCAATATGTATAGTGGAAACTAGGGGGGTCTCGGCGCATTGCCGAATAGGTCTGAAAATATTTGTCATATCTTAATTTACGAAATAACCACGAGACAAAACAAATTCTTGCCCAAAAATTTTCCTGAACCTTTTTTCCATAGTTTTTTATTCTCAAGTTTATCTTTCTTAAAGATTTTTATTTCTGGGCTTAAGCCAGGCATTTATCTGATATATATTTTTTTTTAAATTATATAGAAAAATTCCTCCGAGGCTTCAAAATAAGCAAAAGCAACTTTACGCTTTGCAAAGATAGTATGATAATTTCGTTTATTAATTGGCGCAAGAAAGAAAGAAAGGAAGGAAGGAAGGAAGGAAGAAAGAAAGAAAGAAAGAAAGAAAGAAAGAAAGAAAGAAAGAAAGAAAGAAAGAAAGAAAGAAAGAAAGAAAGAAAGAAAGAAAGAAAGAAAGAAAGAAAGAAAGAAAGAAAGAAAGAAAGAAAGAAAGAAAGAAAGAAAGAAAGAAAGAAAGAAAGAAAGAAAGAAAGAAAGAAAGAAAGAAAGAAAGAAAGAAAGAAAGAAAGAAAGAAAGAAAGAAAGAAAGAAAGAAAGAAAGAAAGAAAGAAAGAAAGAAAGAAAGAAAGAAAGAAAGAAAGAAAGAAAGAAAGAAAGAAAGAAAGAAAGAAAGAAAGAAAGAAAGAAAGAAAGAAAGAAAGAAAGAAAGAAAGAAAGAAAGAAAGAAAGAAAGAAAGAAAGAAAGAAAGAAAGAAAGAAAGAAAGAAAGAAAGAAAGAAAGAAAGAAAGAAAGAAAGATATCAATTGCAATTCTATTTTATTGACACATTTTTATAATTAATTTATTAATGAAAATAGTGCCGATATTCTAAATTGATTCGTCATGCCAACAATACACATTACTATTTACTTCATATTTTGAATTGATTATATATTATATGATGATAGATTTGATATATAAATTCTATTACATTGTTATATTTGATTTGTAATAAAATAATTTATAATTGTATAGTTTTTAATTTATTAATTATCTATATTCAATTTATTATTCAAATTCATATAAATTTAATAAATCAATAATACAACATTCTACATCTAGTATTGTTAAACAACCCGATTTGGGTCAATTTTTAAAAACCGCTGATTAAGGTTCTAGCCAAGATAATATTATGTAAGTTTAGTGATTTTGTAAATCGAAGTTATAGAAGTGTTTATTGAAATAGCTTCAGATATTGTTGTTGATTTAAAATAAACTTGTTTATCTATATGCAGTAAAAATTGATTCATCACATACTAGCGACACTAACTCCCATATGGTTCCTGACGACCTGATGTCAGCACTAATCAATACATATATCTGCTTTTCCAAATTAATTTTTACCTCCTCCTATTTTTTAGAGAGCATTATATCTAATATTATTCCCAATGTTCTTATAGACAGTACGTTGAAATTGTTGGTAATGCCATTAGATAATCATATACAAAATACGAAAATTATATAAAAATATAGGATTGAAGACTACCAAATCCAAATAAAAATATGATATATTTTGTGAATTATATTTTTGAAATTAATTTTAAAGGGTTAAGATCAAGCTTGTTAGTGAATTTATTTTATATGTATTTTAAGGTCATCGATCAATTTATAATAGATGTTATAAGTGTAAATTAAATTTTATTAATTGGATTACAATAAAATATTTAATTAGTAATTATATAAAATGAAAATACTTTATAATAATATTCGATGCTATGATATTCACAAACCAGAGTTGAATATTTGTTTAATAAAGGTTAAAGGTTATCCTTATGAAATATAACGGCTAAGTTACCCCATCGTCTCTTCAAAAAAAACTAAAGTTATGTTATCTTTATTTAGAACATATAACAGATACAAAAGTATCTTCATTACATATTTAAAAGTAAGAATAAATGAAATGATAAATAATTTTATTCATTCAATTTTGTGTAATATAAAATAAAAAGCATCACAAAATAAAGAAACGAAAATTTATTCGTTAATATTTCATTGTTTGTCCAATTTAATAAAAAAATCAAAGATTTTCCATTAAAGCGTTCATTGGACAAAGGACCAATTTTTTAAAATAGAATCCTTTTTGTCTCCTGTTTAACCTTTAAAATTGGCCAATCAAAATAAGTGGTATGGGTTGTTAAAAAGCTTGATTTAGGGTCCATTTTATCAAAACGATCCGATTAGAATTCAAGTCAAAATAATATTAATAAGCCTAGAGATTTTGCTTAGAGATTTCAGAAAGGTTTGAACCTCTATTTGCCACATCTCGAGACTTACGTAATATTATTTTGGTTAAAATTTTAACCGGGCCGTTTTTTTTAAATCGACTCAAATCGGGCTAATATGCATTGCAATGAATAAATAATTATATTATTGGATATTTGTGCTGCGTATTTATTTCAAATGATGGATTGGTATATAGTATTTTTTTTCGATTTATCTTTGTATTACAAACTGTTTAAATAAAATAAAAAATCACCTTTGTCGCTTCTATCTTGTAAGTTAATATAATGTTATAATTTTAAAAAAAAAGTGATAATATTTTTAACCGAAACTCTAAATTATCCGTTTATCATAATCTATAGTACAAAATTCTTAAAGTTTTAAAAATAACGAAAAACAAATGTTATACTTTAAGTTACACAAACAAATATGATGGTTACAGATCCTCTTCGTGATACCTTAATAATGAGATATATGTTATGTAACGGAATGCTATTTGTAATTTTCTGCCCAACAATGCAAACAATATACATTAATTTAAATTTTGCCAGCATATTCAGCGTATACATGAAAGGATATTAACCCCCATCAAAAATCTATACCTGCCCCCCCCCCCAAAAAAAAAAATTTTATCGCCACTTTTGGCGGCATTCTTCTTCATTATTAATTAAATCCTTTTAATTATAATGGTAGTCCCTTCATAAATTAAAAAAGATCAATTTAAAATATTGTTCTACTACAAACTATTTATTTATTTTTATTTTTTTTTTTGAGAATTTTATTATAAATAAACAATCTTTAAAATATAAATATTATATTCATTATAATAATAAGATATTATTACATTATTAGTAAAATAATTTAATAAAATAAAATAACATAGATTAATTATACATTAATATAAATTTAGCGCTAACATTATAATAATATGCAACAAAATGGCCAAAGTCTATACTATGCATAGGATCAGTGGCGTAGCTAGAAATTTTTCTAGAGGGGGTCCATACATATAGTGGGGCGAAGCCCCAACTTTTTAACGGGCCTTCGGTCCTTTTGCCTACGGCCGGGTTATCTTACATAACCATATCTTCGATAATATATAATAAATATATTTTTTAAATGCATCAATAATATGTTATTATAATTGAGTAGGTTATTCACAATGACTTTATAATAATACTACCCAGAATAATTTCAATAGTAATATAATATCCTTTCACAAACATCAAAACCAAAAAATATAAATATTAATGGTATTTATTTGATATAAAGTCACTTTTAAGTCTTTGAACGTACAATCTAAAAAAAAAATTTTGCTCTGGGAGGGGTCCAAACCCGAAAACCACCCCCGTAGCTACGCCACTGCATAGGATGTTCAATTACGGCATTTCGGATATTGAAAAATAAAGCTGAGATAATTGTATTTTACTATGTTTATGGCTAATCGTTGGCGTAGGTAGAATCCCTCGTTGGGATTCTCGGTCCTAGCAGAGATCCGTTTTCCTAGCTCTTTAAAGAAGTCTAGGGCATGAGAGCCGAACGACGTTAAGGTAGTGGCGATTAATGGTAGGAATGTATAATTGGCGGGAAGAGATGGTGAATATTTAGCTAATTTATTCGCCTCGGCATCTAGTATGGCATCTCTATTTATATTGGAAGGGGCAAGAGGATCAATGCATGAGAAATCCCAAGTTAGGAATTCCCCCCTCTTCCAAGGGATCATAGTCGAACCATCAGGCCGCTTACCATCTGAATTGTAAAGGGCAGTAGGTTCGAGGGTTGATGGGATGCCGGCGGATTTTAAGGCCCTGGCAATGGTATCATTGCATTTTGAATGCCTAATGAATCTACCTTTACAGCGTTTGCAGTGTAGAGAGTGACGGCAATTATACAATATTTGTTAATTTATTATTTAAATTCTATTTGGAAATATCCGATTTTATATACATATAATAAGTCTTATACTTGGTGCAATATGATTTATAGTATGTAGATTCTATAGTTAAACAAGTAATAATTTTATATGTGCAATTTATATTAATTTTATATGTGTAATATATTTTATTATATAAGCAATCGCGATAAGAATGTATTTATATTTTAATTAGTATTATTTATATGTACAATTCTTAAATGGGATTCTTATTTTATATGAGTCTTAAATAAAATTGTGATTATTTTAATATTGTGATTATTTTAATATTGTGTTAACACATCGTTTAAGACATTTTTTCCCAAAAATATAAAATATAATAAACATGTATAATATAGACAAGTAGATAAGTGTCTCAGCCGAAGGCCACATAAAAGCGAGCCAAAACCCAGAAAATGTAGGTATGGAAGCGAATTCTCCATAAAATCAGACCGCTAGAAAAAGCAACAAGGCCGACGCTTCCCCAGTCAGCCCTTGTCCATGGAATTATTATTCCTTTCTATATTTATTACAATGTATATCTTTTACTCAATTAATTTCAAGACATGATAATTCACATTCGAATATTTTCAGATAACATATCTATGAAGTTTATTTATTTTTATGCAATATCATCCATTTCCCTATATTTCAACCGGAATAAAATCTAAAATAGAGATAGGTAATTTGGAAACGTAATACAGATTGATATATCAATATTCTTGCTCTGAAGAGTGTACGATGATGGCCTAATTATTCAAAAATATCTATAAGAAAATGCTTGAGACTAATAAAGTTTTAAATTTTAACACGTTTACAATCATTGATTGAGCGTCTAAAGTAGTTTAGCTTTAAATGATTCTGTCTGTAATATATGGTAAGCCGATTATTATTAGGTAACATACAATTTTTCAATAAAACTGTCGTATTCCTGTGATCACATGCACGTGTCAGCTGTTATGGTATCAATTTTTTATACATGTTTAACGTAATCTATTCCTTTAAATTTCATATGAACAATAAAATTTAGGTGAGTGAAACATTTTATAATAAATATAATATTATATATATAAAATTTGTCATAATGCGATAATAATATAAATTAGATAGTTGATAGATTTTTGAAAAATAATGATTGTTGTAAATATTAACCTTATTCATATTTTTTAATAATTACATTCATATTTATTTTACTAACAAATGATAGACATCATTTACTACATTTATTATATGAATTAAATATTATAATCATAGAAAAAATCTAGTGATGTATTTAGTAAAACTTAGGATAATTTAAAATAATCAAAATTTAATAATTTTATTCTATAAACACTATAGAATTTTATAAAAGATTATATGATATTATTGAATGTTAAAAAGAAATATAATTAATTCTTTGGTAATTTATTCCATATTATAAAAGAAAATATTAATTAATAAGTAATATTTTTATTTCTTAAGAGATATTGAAAATTAGTCTATTTAGTAATAATTTGTAGTTTTTTATTATTTTCGAACCTTAAATTTAAAAAATTTAAAACACTTTGCAATATATTCACTATTACAAAATGGTGATTACTAATATTAATGAATGGAGCATTATAATATCAGTTGATTCTGAAGGAAGATAAGGTCTTAATTGTAAGATATTTACTGTTTTCTTATGAGGGCCCAAATACCAAACATCCCTGAGCCTGCTAATTTATCATCAGATGATGACCTAAGGCTAGGTGGTTTAACTTCTTCTTTATCTTAGATAAATCCTTAATTTAGCACTTCACATGCTGCTTTTCATTTCTAAAAAATATAAATTCTAGGTCGATATATCCTAGAGAAGAAAAATATTCTAAATTATGTTCTATATCAATCATTTTCTCTTTCCTTTTACATTATTCCAAATAGAACCTTAATTTTTTTTTACAAATATAGGTGGCAAAATGACCCTTACATAAAACATAAGGAATTTTATTTTTTTTAACAAAAAATTCTTATTACCATTTTAAAATAAAATAATTGGTATTTTTTGGGAATAGTTACAATTCTGTTTTTATAGAATGAGCATTTTATTATATTATAGGATATGATTGGAATATTTATATATATATATATATATTATGAATTAAATAAATCAATAAAATTCATTAAAGAAAATTAATTTTATGCAAATATAATGCCAATATAATGCCAATAATTTTTAACAATATTAAATTTTTTCATTAATCATTTATTTACAAGGTTTATTTTTAAGACCAAGCATATTTGATATTACTTTATTCTTTTATAATATTTACATTTTTTTTAAAATATATATCCTTGTATGCAAATTTAAGCGAAACAAAATTCGGTTTCTTTTAAATAAAAAAAAAATTTTAAAAAAAATACATGATAAATTGAATGATATTGTTTATGAACATAAAAAAAATACCAAAGTGCATGCTAATTTATAAACATTCTAAGATATGTTATTAATGCAATTGGTGAACATTTTTAAGATTAATACTTAATATTATAATACAGCAAAGTTATTTTCTTCAAATTAATGACTTATAAATGAAACTTGAATTAAGTAGCTTACCAGAGGGGTGGATAAGTTTTCATCAAGGAATTAACAATTTTGTTAACATAATTTTTTTTAAAATAGGAATCTTGCTGGGTCTAAGTGATAATGAGGTGGACACCTTATTAGGTTTCACCACGTGTTATATTTGTCCCAAATATTATTTGCAGAGTAAAACATTGGTTCAAAAAATTGTGTTTTGATTATAAAACTCTCTAAGCCTCTAAAAAAAACTCATTTTTTCAATTCCCTTTTAAGCGAGATGAACTGGAAAATATCTTATAAATTCACCATGTCCACTGCTATCAGATTTAGGTTGGTGCTGTTCATTAAAATTGGCCCTTAAAGCGCGGATGGGCTCTAACCAAAATTTTTGTGGATACAGGAGCCTCAAGTCTCTTAATTGGGAAAAGAAATCCTATAAGAATTCGGGAAGGGAGAGATGATTTTTTATTATAAAGCACTTCAAAATATGACATAACTGTCAAATCACATTGACAAATTTTTTAATGCCAATAAAAATGTAGGATCTGTTTGTTCGTTTTTTTTGTGATTTTCAGGAAATATCTTCATATCGATTATTTTCCTTACAGAAAAAAAAATAATCAATAAACAATTAAAACTTGTCTAATTTAGGCGGTACTCTATAATTTGACCAAGATTTAGATTCCCTATCGAACTCCTACCAACTAACTATTGTTCTCGATAAATTGGGAACAACTTGTTTAAGTTGACCTATGGTGCCAACTGTTGCCCAAATTAGACGGGTTACTCTAGTATTATCTTTCTGAGTCTGAGTCATTTAATTATATATTTTTTTGGGGGGTGGGGGGGGGGGGGGTTACAAAAAATAAAATTCCGAATCGAGAATATCATTCATCGATCTCTTTAAAACGTCAATCTTTTTTAAGGAATATTGGTTTCGATAAATTGTAAAATAGCCATTGTAGGGCTTATCAAAAAAAAAATTTTTTTGACCCCAGAAAGTAAAAAAATTCTAAATTATTTTTGCCCGTTTTTCGAAGATCTGATCCAAACTCGTGTTTTAGGAATAGGTCCTACCCTAAGAATCAGAAAATGTCTATTCGTTAGATTTGATTTCGGTAGAATCGGGATGGAACGATTCCCTGTCAGGCTTCCGGCTCTGGTTAAAGATTGTGAGCCGTCAATGTGTTTGTCCGAATTTTAATGATTTTAAAAATATCGGAGGGGGGGGAGGGAGAACCTTGGCTGATAGCTTAGCTAAGGGTCAGTTTAATTTTAACTAGCCCCCCACCTCCCTTTAGCGTAAGGGTTACTCCTACTTCTTCAGCTGAATAGAAAGAAATCTTAGCTAACAGTAAAGAGAAGAAATGTGGAACAGGAAAGAAGATTAAATGAATTTGTATGAGGGAACAAAGTTTTAATCGTGGTGTATATTCTTTTTATCATCCCTTCATTTTCTTTTTATTTCTTCCTATACGATTGTTTTTATTTTAATTAATTTCTTTCTTTTTTTTGCGAAATTTATTTGCTTTTTATTTTTAAATTGTTTTTGATTTTAAATAAATTATTAGTCATTTTATCGAAGCATTTTTTTCCGACATCTCCTGACTGCGCCCATTAGAATTTGACGACGTATCGAATGGCGAATTATTCGTGTTCGTTTCTTTTTATGAATACGAATAGTAAAGTATTCGATTTGTTTTAAATGAATCGAGTTCGGTTATTTTTCGAATAGGTCTTCTACCTAATGTGAAAATGAGAATATGTTAATAAATTTGGATTGGGAGGGGGGGGGGAGTTCTTGTTATTAATCGCTGTCAATCGTTATTCGTTCGGCCCGTTTCGTGAATACGGATAACCGGTATTCGTTTATTCCTAATAATTTGATTTTTCGAATCAAATACTCTATACACATTCACACACTAATAGTTTGAATTAGAAGTTTCGAATTCGATGTGACAATTCTCCCCGGACCTTAAAATATGATACAACTTAAATATCCGGGTTACAAAAGTTGCAGGACCGGGCTGGGTCGAATCAAAGTAAAATTTAAAATATATCGAGATGGATTTATTTGTCATTCATTCATTCCTTTCTTTTAATTATTTTTTTTTCAATTTTCCCTTACAAGACAGACACCAAAAGATTATTTAAATCAAGACACTGACCGTCCGACTTAAAAAAATCTTTTTATTTCTTTTAATATAAAATTCGACCTAAACTCCAACTAACGCCTATTAAAATTAGAATTACGTATTTTCCGATATTCACCCTAAGATTTGTGGAATTGGCGAAGATCGGCATGGCCTAAAATCGATATTTCACATTTGATTTTTTTTCCCCTTCTTACTATGATCAAAAAAAATGTTTATAAAAATGTTTATTACATATCATTTTTTTTACGCCACCAATAATTTCTATTAACATTATATTACATTATATATTATATTTTTTATTAAACTTTGTAATAAAAAAAATAACAAGAAAACAAACATAAATATCAAAGTAAGTAATAACCTAATTTATATTAACCTGCACAAATAGAAAAAACGTATAGAGAAATTTAAATTATAAAAAATATAGTTTAATGTTAGTTTTAGATGATAATATGATGATTGATTGGAATATGGAATATTATGGAACAGTAATTAAAAGTCGAAAGGAAAGAAAATATTTGTGATTTTGATATATATAAAATTCAATAAAAATAAGTGCTTCATATCAATTATCTCACTTTAATAATATTAATCAAAAAAATCGATATTTTTTTCATTTCAGTGTCAAGGTAAGAAAGGAACATTCGGGAAAAATTCCACCCCTCTCCCCCATTTTTTTGTCACTTTCCAGAGTTCGGTTTTAAATATATATTTTCGGTCGACACGTGTACCCATCCACAAACTTTAACATCCGATCCGATATTCGTAAGCCCGATCCGGTTTGATGTTTATTTTTACCGCGTATTATTCGAAACCAATGTCCACAAAAAAACGCGACGAACTGCAAAAAAAAACTAAGAATCAATCCCAATGAATTTGTAATGTTTTATCCTTCCTTTAAAAAAAAATTTTCTATGTAAGTGATGTATAAAGAGAATTATTGATTTTTTTGCTATTATTACCCTCTATTTTTTAACAATCTGTCCTAAATGCTCTTCAACCTTTTCTTTTGACCGGGAATTTAAAGAAAGAAGGAAAGAAAAACAAATAAATCTAAGCAATTTTTCTTTTAGATAAATTAAATAATTGATTAGAGGTTTTTAAAAAATATTTTTTTTTTTTTTCGATAATAAATGTTAAACATGTTTTAATTCGAATAAATAGAAATTTCAAAATTTTAAATTAAATACGCCAAACTAGCGTAATAAATATTTAACAATTTTATTGCTTAGTTACCCCCACCCCCCCCCCCCCCCTATCATTAATTATTTGACTACTTCTATATAGATATTAACAAAAGTCAGTAACGTTCTGCTCTTCAAAATATTTAGTAGAGAATACACACTCGTACATTTTTTTTTCTAAGGATGGGGGATTTACCGTTATTAGGAAAAAAAAATTGTACCTGTAGAAGTCCATATTTAATACTTCAATTGTAAACGTCCATTTTATTCATAAAAATATCTAAAGATCATAAACTATTTAATAATAGATAACTAAAAATTTTTATTGGTCAAAATTGAACGTTAAAAATAAAACATATATATACGTAAGGTTTAAAAATAATATATTAAAAAATATCGTGGAAAACTATTTGTAAAATAAAATATTATATTTAAAAAAACTGTATAATAAAAAAAAAAAATTAGTATAGTAAATTGTATGTTGGGTGGGAGGAGTTCAAGAAAGGGAGCCGTGGATGGCAATGCAGTTAGATCTGCATATACCAAAAGAAATGCGCTGTCTGAGGTAGAAGCCTTCCCGAGGGTCACCAGTGATGGCGCGAATTTTTTTACCAAGGGATTCGAAGAAGGTTAGGGCTTGATTGCCGAAAAAACCGGTTGTGTCGAATACGGTTGGTACGAGATTGCAATTGGTTAGGGAAGTGTATTTGATAATTTTCGAGTTTTCCTTAAAATCTTTTTATTCAACCCGGATATTTCGGTCACCTTTGGAAATTTAGGGCTTCGCTTTTCTGGAATTGTATACTGGGTAATTCCATACCAAATGGATAACTTTTCGGCTCAACCTTTTTAATTTCGATAAAATTTTGTATACTGAAAGAATATCATTAGAAAGCATCGAATCCAAAATTTTAGCCTCCTAGTACTCATAGTTCCTGAGATATGAATGATCAAAAGTGCCATGCAAATCGTTAATCCAGGATGATTAAGAAGTTTGTTTTTCCAATACCCCAGCCCCCGGTTTCTAATTCTATTCCGATATCGCTGTTGTTTACTTTGATACCTATTACTAATGTTAAAAAAAAAATATAATTCCGCGACATGCCCCCACTGATGGTAAACCAACCTCCCCGTCAACCTAGCGATCCCTCCTCCTGACCTAACGCGAATTCGATCGCGGAGTCCGTTATTGCATATTCCAGCCAATCCACTCATATCTACCGCCAAGTTGTCGGTACCCGCGTCTCCATTATACGCATTATGGTAATCATTCATCTTCTCCGGCAGCCCCCAATTTTTACTCGCTCCTTGGTCATCCTCTCGCGTCCATATTGGTGCCCTCTCTCGTGCACTCGACGTTTCTGGCTGTCTGTCCGTTGTTCCCTTGTCCAAAGCTGGGTCTCCCATCAGGCTCCGTTTGTTCACCGCTGCAGTTAGAGGCGGGCCACCTATCTCACCCCGGAATTGTTGGTTGGCTGGACTGGAATATGCAATAAGGGACTCGGAGATCGAATTGTTATAATCCTTTTACTTCCTCATACTCTACCCACTTTGAAAAAAGCATCTACCACCAATATATATATATATAGTTTATTCTCGAAGTCGAAAAAGTCCTAGTGGATGCGTTCCCTAAGGCTGAGTTGCTTTCAGCCACACTTTTAATAAAATCGATAAAAATATAAAAACTATATTTTAAAATAGACAAAAAATAAGCGTGATATTATATAACTCCGCGAAAAAAAAATATAATTCCACGACAATACTCACCCAAAATTCTGGACTGTATTCCTGTTACTAATAAAATTCACTGTTTCTATTTCTACAGACTCGAGCAATGTGGCCAATTTTGTTACATTTTATAACAAGTTGGCATTCTTGGAAGGACAATATTCCCTTCCACGCCGCAGGAATGGCAGGGATTTCTTTTTTTTTATGTAGATCGTATTAAATGTAGTTATTAAATATTTTCGAACTTTGAAATAGCCTTCGATAAAAAATTTATATCTCTCTGCAATTATATTTGGAAATCCCTGACTATCAGATACACACATATATTTACCAATATTTTTGTAAGTATCGTCGCATCCTATTGTTGTCGATGAAAGAGTGATTTTTCTTGCGAAGAATTCTTTGTTTAATTTTTCCGTTTCTCGTAAATCGGGGAAGCGATATTTTGGGATTTATTCGGAACGATAAAGTGGATTCCCATTTTTGTTCCCAAAAGTTAACATGTGTTCATGGCCGAATCCGGTTTTGCCCGTTAAGCCTCTTTATAATCCCCTTTCCTTGTTGCGGATTAATGTAGCAGCTCAGCCGCAAAAAAATAATATATTTCGTATTGGGATATGGAATTCGTTGGGAATTCGTAATCTCTAACTGATTTTATCGGAAATATATTCTAGAATGTTACAGAGTTACCCCGCACTGTTAATGCCCGACAATTTTGGTCGAGAACTCTAGAACTACGCAAAAAGTTTGCGGCGAAAATTGTCCGAAATTCTTAGGGTAGATACTCTGCGCGTGCTAGAATACGTTTCCGGTCAAATCAAACTCATCCAATCTGACAAATGATGCAAAATCGAGGGATTCCATATTCCCAATACGGTATATACAATCATAAAATAACCACAAAAAAAAACAAATGATAACGTCTGATCGAGAGGTTAATATCTGCCCCGACCCGATGTTTTAAATTTATAATACGGCGAAAGTCCCCAACGAATCAATCTTGTCCCGGATAGCGAATCGTATCCGCGTACAGCGGGCTCTAATCACCTCCGCTCCGACACTGGTGTTGTTAAACGGCTCGATTTAAGCTTAATATAAGAAAAAGAAAAAGATCGCCTTGAACATCGAGATTTCGCTAATAGGCCTCCAAATCCTTTGTGCCATCTAACGAGTAACATCTTTAGGTTCGCGATTTTTTTCCTGGGTAAGATATTGAGTTAGCCGTTTAAAAAGCCGGCATAACACTAGCCCGACACCAATTCCCTACTTGCTAAAATAAAAACAAGGGTTTGAAATGCATTTCAGAATAAAAGACTCTAATTGATCTAATTTTACCTTTTAAAATTCCAAATTTTTTTTAACAAGTAAATATATCGTGATTTTTATGCGCAAAAAAACTAATCTTTCACGATTTAAATCACGAATTTTTTCTTTCATGATTTAAATCACAAATTTTTTTTTTAAAGGAATGATAACGATTCACTTTAATAAAAATCATATAATTTTTTACATATTATAATTATCGATTTAATAAATAAAATAATTTTTATTTTTTAAAAGATATATATATATTTAGCTGTTAGCAAATTTTAAAAATTATTTTTGCCAAATTTTATTTTTTAATTATTTTTAAAGGTAAATTTTTTCTTTTACCTTATCTAATTTTTTATAATTTTTTTTATAAAAATGTTTTTATCAAAGTTTGTTAAATCAATTTTTGTTGTTAATTTTTTAACAAATTAATAAATTTTTATTTAAAAAAAAAAAATTATTATTAATATGGATTTTAATGAGCTTTTATTTATATTTTTATTGGCTTTCTAAAATTATTAATTCGCAGAGTTGTTAAAGGGTCTAGATAATCCAGATATAAAAATGTCGTATCTATATCTAGATAGATTTTTGATTTAAATATCTGTATCTACGATATTATTTTAGACGATGTATCTGTATCTAGATCCATTTAAAAAGTATCTTTTAACAACTCTGTCAATTCGTAATCGGTATATTTTTTTGTGCATTTCAAGTTACCTTATATTTTAAACGTGTGCGCCGATGGCGATACGAATACTCTAATTTTAATAGGTCCCGCTAGTGTATGGATCCTGATGTCGACGCTTCTACATGAGCCTTAGGGAGTCAGGAATGAAAAATGTAGATCGGTAATTTTACTAAAGTGCCCGAATAATAAGGAATATTGTCCTGAACCTCCGGTTTTTTTTTGGCCGCCACCGCTGAAGGTTTTGAGATCTCTCTTCAAATTCTTTTCTAAAACATTATTTAGATTTTTTATCATTATTATTTAATATCTGCTACTTTCCAGCTAATTTAATATACTACGCTATCTAGCAGGGCCGTCACTAGTCCTAAAGAATCAGATTTTTCAGGGGGGGGCTCAAACCCCTGCCCTACTCTTTCCCCCACCCCTAGTGACGCTACTGCCATCTAGTCGGGTCATTCAATCATAATGTTCTCATTTTGAGTGACATTTTTATTATCGTCAATGGAATCGCAATTCCAAAAACGGGTACCAGGGCACGTATGGATCAGTGCTGTAGATCTATTCCATGTAGACATTCACGAAACAATCGCAACAAGCTGTTGTCGATCGTTAGAATAAATGTACAACACACGAAAACTATTTTAGTTTAAAAAAATTTTCCGCGCCACGTGCAACGGCGCCGTTTTCGGCGCGATGAAACATATGGCCGGCCCGCCCACGGGTTAACGTATTTTCCATACACATATGGATATATTAAATATAAATATATTTTTTAAATCGCTATATCTCTCAGAAATAGGATGAAGCCATCATTTTTTGTCACGTGCTTACTCCTAATCCACCGCGCCAACGCTTTGGATCCCGATAACGGAAAATGCGTTTCCTACGGATTGTGCCAGGTTTCGGGCAAGGGCCTGCCTTGCTCGTACAGCGGGCTTCCCAAGGATTTCGACTCCAATTACACGGCCATGCTGAGAGAACTGTGCCCTCAATTGCCGGGAATTAAAAGTGATACTATCATCTACGCACCCTCATTTCCGACCATATATACACTCGGGATCTTCTAATATGCTCTCCATTTGAAATTATGACTCATAACCTCCAGGAAAAATCCTAGACTTTTTAATCGTACCTCCATTTTTTTTTTCAACGTAGTTTAATAATAAAATGAACAGGGGGGGGGGGGGGGATTGGTTAGGGGAGGTTTCTAAGAGGGATAGCTACTCAAGGAATTTTCTGTTATACTTAGACTTCAAGAAGGTGATCCAAAGTAGTGGCCCGAAAAAATCCTTTGTCAGTCTAAATTTTTGAAACGCCGATCATAAAACGTCTTTTTATCCACGACCGTTAACAAAATGTTTAACTATATATATTCCGCCATTTAGAATGGTAATTTTTAACCATGGAAGGGGGTGGGGTTAAGGATTATGTTTTTGATAAATTACTAATATAGATATTTATATTTATATAAAAAAATATATTCATGACCGAAAGATGATAAAGTGAAAACCTGTTGCGACGTGGACCAAGTCCATAACCTCAAGCACAACATGAGGATCCCGACATCTTTTTTCCAGAAATGCCCTTCCTGCTTGCGAAACTTCATCAACGTGTTCTGCGTACTGACCTGTCACCCGGCCCAAAGCCTTTTCCTCAAACCTCTCTCTCGAAAACCGTCCCCATTTATTTCCCCCGATAAAGATCCTGCAGTAGCAGATGCTTCCAGGAGTATCGAGTCCTCCCCTAACGACCCCCGAAGCTTAAGCAGTAACCCTATCCATAACCTGGAATTTCACGTTACCGACGTTTCTCTAAAATCGGTCTACGGGGCGTGTTCGGGAGTAACGTTCCTGGGCGGGAAGGTTGTTTACTTGATGTGCGGGAAGGCGGGAAAACACTGCGACTACCGGAAGTTTTTCCAGTTTCTAGGTCACAACCCCCAAAATCCGCTCGGAATAGACTTCATCTACCATTCGGCAAAAGACGGCGGCAATACTTTCGGAAAAAATGGCGCCAAATTTGCCGACAAGAACGAACCGAAAGGCGAAATCGTACCCGTGGAGATACCCACTTTCCCCTGCGATAAACCGTTGCCCGACGTTAGTTTGATTTTAAATTTACGTAATGTTTATTAGCGTCGACTAATCACGAGTATATCATACGTGAAGAAAGAGAAATGAAAGAAAGAGTAGAAAAGAAAAGAATAGAAAAAAGAAAGTGAATAATTTTAGATATAATTGGAAAAATTAATCAAATATTGCTTTTATTTTTACTATATTTTACTTCAGATTTTCCTTTTTTTTAAATTATTTATTTAAGTTTCTTTTTTTCCTTATTTAAATACCCGGGAATTTATAAATAAATAAGTTGTCTATGTGGCATAAGATCGTGAAAACATCAAAAGGGGGGGGGGCAATATATATTTACATTTTTGGCCTATTTCCCAAAACTACCGATCGGATAGCATATTTGTATTCGTTACGAATATATCGAATATTCGATTAAATTATTCGAATAATTCGATTTTAATCAAATATTTTACTATTTGGTATTCGTTATTATTCGATTCCTTAATTGAATGTGAAGGCCTAAGGTAAATATTAAATATTCCAAAACGATTACCAGTCGAATGCGGCAAATGATTAATTTTTTAAAAAAAATCTAATCATTTCGAACGGATCATATATTCGATCAAATTCTTCGAATAATTCGATTTTAATCAAATATTTTACTATTTGGTATTCGTTATTATTCGATTCCTTAATTGAATGTGAAGGCCTAAGGTAAATATTAAATATTCCAAAACGATTACCAGTCGAATGCGGCAAATGATTAATTTTTTAAAAAAAATCTAATCATTTCGAACGGATCAAATATTCGATCAAATTCTTCGAATAATTCGGTACGAATCGAATATTTTACTATTCGTTCCGTAATCGAATAAGGCCCTAAGGTAAATAATTAAAAGGGAAAGAAGTGAGATATTAAATATCTAATTATCGATAAAAAATATTATCAAAAATCAAACTAAATTTACGTAATAATAAATAATAAATAATATTGATTTCTATACTTAAATATTATGAGAGATTTACAAAAAAATAAAAATTAACATATAAAAATATATTATTTAAAAATTTTTCTTACGATTGTGACCTAAATGGGGAAGAATAAAAAAAAAATTTTTTCCTTTCTTTTTATATACTAGATTGTTATTGGTCAAAGAGAGGGGGGGGGGGGAATTATTTAGTATAACTTGTCTAAATTGGGCGCCAAAAGTGAAAATTTAGAGATTTTGCTCAATAAGTCTTTCAAACCCACGTGGATTAAAATTCCTTTTTTTAGGGATCGATCTTCGAGAGACACGTATTTCTTTTTCGTTGCATTTTAACCGCACATCCAAAGGTGTTACCATGACGATCTTAGGATAAATTATTTTGAACTTTTAGGACTTCGACTTGTGATAAGTCGATATAAGCGAACTATTTTTTAACACCTATATTGTCATGTCGCATAAAAAAAAAAAATTTGGTTTTGTTTCAACTACAAAATTCAGATTCTCGGGTTTTGGTAAGGGGGGGGGAGTTAAAAGGCTGTGTCCAAAATATCGAAAAATTAAATTCAGAAACTTATGAATCTTTAATGAAAATAGATAAAATGAGCTATTTTATAATATAAAATTAAAAACGTGTCCAAAACACAAACACAGATAATTTGCGTAAGTTTGAACTTTTATAACAATTTTATTTTTTTTATCAAAAAAAGATTTTGGACATACCCTATAAAAAAACGAAATAATATTTATAAATCCATGGCGTCCCCAGCTGTTTTTCAGCTGTGTAGTTGGTTTTAACTGCAATGTTTGGTAAGGAGAGGGGGGTGGGAATATTTAAAAATATCGATTTTATTATAAATATCTATTTTTTTTGCTGCACGGAAATATGTTTTATATAACAAAAATTGTTTGACGCGATTTCAAAAATTAATTATTTTTTTTTGATTCCACTATACAAGTAGGTATTATAAAATGCAAAAAAAAATGACCTTCGAATTTTAATTAACGCTTAAAATCGTGACCAATTTTTGCGAAATTTATTTAGTCAAAAACGGTTAGAGTAAGGTGTTTTTTTTGGCGGGGGGGGGGGGAATATCGAGTGCGCTACTTTTTTTTGTAACGCGTTTTTTAACGAAGTAACGAAAATGTATCTAGCCGAGAACTATTTTCCGATTCAAAGATTTAAGCAATATAGCTCCATTTCCTTTTTGTAATTTTATTTTTGTTGAAAATTTACAAACCTAAATAGATTTATTATTATCTCCAGATTTTATCCAAATAATCAAGGTTTTTTTAATTTTAATTATTTGTGAATTTTATGTTTTAAAAGTAAATTTTTTTAAAAAAAAAATTATAAATAAATATAAAACAAATTTAATATCTTCATTTCCGCATTTCCACTCCTCCACGCGTTTCTATCATTTACCGCGTCAAGCGTTATAAGCTTAAGCTCCGCGAATCTTCTACGATCACATGTTTTTTGTATATATTCGGGGGTGTCGTCTCCTTTTACCTCCAAACTTGTCTCTCAATTTCTTCTCCAATAACTCGCATCACAGACCTTCATTGTACCGGGTCGGCAGGGTCTAATATTACGGTTTCTAACTGGTCGGCCCCGGTTTTTGAACGGTTTATTTTTAATGGGCGCCTTGGATCTTTGAGAAAAAAAAGTATCGCAATTTTATATCTTTTCTAATAATAAGATTTCGGTACTGTAAACAACATGATCGCCTAAATACGCTTATCGTTTATTTTCATTTGAATCAAGAAATTACCTTTTTGGGTACGGTCTTGGGACAAAATTTTTTGAAACTTATTACGGGCTTGGGTCGGGCTCGCGGTTTTTTTTAAAAAAATACTTGGGCCTTTTTTGCTGGCCTGAGCCGGGTTTGTTCGAAAAATTGAGGCCCGGGAATGTTTCTGATTGGCGTATGTTTGACATCGAAAGCTTCAACCTACCCATTTCCATTTTTTTTACGCTACACTGTCCACGACAAACACTAAAAGATCTTAACCCCCCCCCCTCCCTCCGCTTGCCTGATTAATTTCTCAATGGCGAAGAAAAAAGAGCGGAAAACGGACGGTCTTTAAGATTCACTGATGGTTCCGGCTTGTAAATTTTAGTCAGGGCGATGGGCGGAAATATATACGCTGATTTTATATTAACCATTTAAACGTTAATGTTCTTAGTTGCGTAGGTAGGATATAAGAAAAAAATGGATAATTTTTCTGTACAATTTTTTTCCCCACCCCCCTCCCTTCCCTCCACCGGAACTTTAGGGTGCGGGCGCGGCTTGCACGTGTCAAGATTGCCCCATCGCGTGTGTAGACCCTCTTCCGGCCTTGTCGCCGGACCCGGAAGATGGGTGGTTGCCTGGAGGCGCCCTGCCTTGGAAAGTGTTGGGTATGGACGGCATGATTTTCGTCATGACTCTCGTTTTCGTATGCTTCGCGCTTTGCTTCGGGCTCGCCTTGATATGCCGCAACAGAAGTTCTAACGGGTAAAGAATAGTTTTAATTTTTACGGAAGTAAAACAAAATGTCCACATTAGATTGCTTGTCACGGAAGACGCCACTAAGATAATGAGGGGAGGCCCCAAGGGCGGCGACAGCACCGAGAGGTTTTGCGTTGACGTTGACGGAGGAATAGGTGAAATCGAACGGATGCGCGCCTACGATATATGCGGTAACGGAACATTTGCTTTAACGTCAAAAAAAATGAATTATTAACCACGTGACATGGTTATTTAAATATTTTCTATCAAATCTTTTCAAAAAAAAATTTATAAAATGGGCTTATAGATGGGGCTCAAAAGAACGGGGTATACAGGACTGGTGCCGCTAAAATTACCGATAAAAAGGACCTGGGCTACATCACCGATGCTAGAGGTTTTTGCAACTTTTCACGATATTTTTTTTCTTCTAAACTTCGTATCAATATCTTTTCTGAAAAATAAAAGAACAAATCTTAACCAATCTCAGCCTTACTAAAATGTCGATATTAATGACACGTGTTACTCTCTTTGAATTCGATGATTTCTTTTCGTGATAAAATTAAACTTTATATATTTTTTTTCTTCTTTTCCTATACCTGGATTAATTTCGTATGTACATAATTTTAAATTTGCATATATGCTCTATTTACCAACCGATTAGTATCTAATACAAACATTAATTGGGGGCGCATTTAGTCATTTAGGAGAGATGTGCGCCTATTATATATTGGTGATTGGTAGAAACGATCTAAAATTAAATTTACTCGCAATTTGTATTTTTAAAAAATAGTATCTGGCTCATTAAAATGAAAGGCTTAAAATTTAAATTAGACAAATCGCCATTTATTTTAAAACTGTGCACGGAATGTTTAGGCAAGTTCTGTACCTCCTCGTTGAATCTCCCCAGCTTTTTAAGCGGAATCTTCGCACCGTATCAAAAAATAGATTCCGATTGGGGGTGAAGACCGGTCTAAACCCCAATCGGACCGATCGGTTTTTATCGGGTACGAATTCGCCCTACCATTCCTTCGTAAGCATATTCAGATAGCTTCTTATAAAGTGTTATGCAACCCACACGAATTACGACGAATTAACAAACAAACACCATCATTGGTCGAAAAATTTACATCGTAAATAAATTATCCCAAGGTTTGGTGATACAATAGCCAAAAAAATAAATAATGATGACTCAAAAAATTGAATAATAATTGTTGACGTTTCGATTTTTTGTAAAATTTCCAAGGCTTCGCCATCCTTCCCCACTCCTCTCGGTTCCAGCGGTACATGGCCAACAGATTTAGGGATTGGGGCTTGGTGTGCGCTACCTACCCTACAACTATACTCATACTCGGTGTCGTTTCTTGCGGGCTGATGTCGGCCGGTCTCACCCTCATGAAGGTCACGACGGACCCCGTTCAACTGTGGTCGGCGCCTAACAGCAGGGCCAGGATGGAACTGGCTTACTTCGAAGAACATTTCACGTGAGTCAGGGTGGAAGAAGGGAATATGGAAGTATATGATAGTGAGGGAAGATAAAAAGATAAAATTTAAAACAAAAACCTCTATTTATTTCATATAATAAATGAGAATAGAAAAAAGGTCACGGCCAAAAAAAAAATTATAAATTAATCGATAAAATTACATTATTTCTATTATGCATAAATTATATATATATTTTTTTTAAAGGCCATTTTACCGGATCGAACAGCTGATTATAGTACCGACCAATCAAAAGCCCGTGATGTACGACTCCAAAACGTACGGCCCTATATTCAGGGAAGAGTTATTGATCGAAGTATTTAAAAAAAATATAGCTAAAAATTGCTTCGTAAACAAACTCTGGTAAGAATATGAGGGTTGCTAATCATGTCGCGATATTAATTTTACATAGGGAAGGGAAGGAGTAGAAATAAGCCTTATTCCTCAATACTCCCCCCAAGTGGCTACACCCTCTAGTATAACTCTTTGAATAGAAATTTGTGATTATAATCCTGGCATAAGAATTTCTACTCCCTTCTGCTATAAAAAAAAAGGCGCTGAAACTCCAATCCAGCATTTCCCTCCTCAAATTCACCAACCGTTCCAGCTCAGAAACTATCGGATTGAGCGACATTTGTTTCAAGCCTCTTTCCCCTGTCAACAACAATTGCACTACTCAGAGCCTGTTTCAGTATTACCAAAACGAAGAAAATCTGCTTAGGGAAGACTTCGGGAAGTCGCCCAACGCTGGAATCTTGAAGCACTTCGACTTTTGTTCCAGGTTCTATTCAACTTCTTTTCTTCTTTCTTTCGTATTTTTTCCATCATACTGGAAATGTTTCCAAAAAAAAATGGTAATTATTCGGAGAAGTGTATATTCAATTATTTTTTATAAACCAATGGTAGGAATCCTTTGTCGACAGATTCGGCCAATAAACCGTGCTTGAGCCTTTTCGGTGGTCCCATCAACCCTTGGTTCGTATTGGGTGGTTACAAAGGTTTGATTTTTTTTATTCTCATGTCTAGCGGCGCTGTGCCCATATTAAAATGGCCCCTTTTATAAAATGCGTACTTGGAATATGGCGCCAAATTTCTTTATGCGTAGACATCTTGGAATATCAATATAAGCATATTTAAACTTGTTATGAAAACAAGTCAGGATTGGTCTTCGGGAATTTGTTCTTATAGGTCCTTTGTTTTGTATAAAATTCATTTTTTAAAGTTTTTAATTTACACGCCAAGATGTTACGCGTTAAAAATTTACCGCTTATCTCGTGGCTATTCCGTGCTCACGCGGTCGGCACAGACCTATGATTAGAAACGATTTTTTAAAAATGATTCGTGTCTTATATGTTGGGAGGAAGATTATAAATGAAGAAGGAAGGAAGGAAGGAAGGAAAGAAAGAAAGAAAGAAAGAAGATAGAAATTCGAGAGAATTCTATGGGAAAATAAAGGTAGGGATCGTATGACAGCGATATTATGTTCATTTATTTTTTATTTTTAAATTACTAGGGGAAGAATACGAACAGTCATCAGCATTGGTTATAACTTTTGTGGTCAACAACGAACCCATCAATCAACAGAAGTCCGAATTGTGGGAAAAGGAGTTTTACAAATTTTTTTCTTCTTTTATAATACTTATACTTAATTATGTGTAAATACGTTGTGCGCATGCGTGTTATTATTTATTTTTATCCACTCATGAGTGATCCCATTTTCTCAAATCGCGCCATTACTACTGTGGGTCACCTGACCCTTAAAAAAAATCGTGTCCATAAAAAATATGATGATCTTAGTTGATAGTTTACGAATTTTGATTGATTGATGAAGGTCTGCTCTCTGTTTTTTATTTATTTTTTTGTCAAATCTAAAAATATTGAATATCTATCTGTGATCGATGTCCTGTCTCTCAGGATTTGTTGCTTTGTTTCCTTTGTGATGTAAATGCTGGGATTGTAGGAAGATGTTCACACCTTCCGTCTATAATCATAAGCATAAAAAAAATACGTTAGAATGGCAGAAACAAATGAGAACCAAATCGAAATATTACGTAATATCATGTTCACGGTCATAATTTAAAAGGTACGCACCAGCTCCTGATTCCAGTTAGCATCGAAACCTCTGAAAATATATCTCTTTTAGCAAAAAAAAAAAAAATTAAAGATACTTATTCATTTCTTTTTTTTACCTAGGTTTGTCGAGTACATGAAAAATTATTCTAACCCTTTGTTCACCGTTTCGTTCCAAGCTCAAGTAATTACCGCCATTTTTTTATATGATAGATTACCTTAAAATTGTTCTTGCGGGATTGTTGTTAAATCGGCCTCGTTTGAGCCGATTTTTAAAGCAACGGCTAACTCGATATTTTAGCCGGAAAAATATTGTCTAAGCCTCGAGATTTCGGTAATATATGTCTAGACTCTTGTTCCTTCTATGAACAAAATCTTCAGGCTTATGTAATATTTTTCTGGATACACTGAGTTAGCCGTTTCTAAAAATCGGCTCAAAACTAGCCATTTAACAACACTATTCTTGTGATTGTTAGAAGATTACTTTAGATCCTATTTTGTAAATATTTAAGTATTCTCGTATACAATAAAAGAGATTTACAAGCACTTTATAACTGTTTTGGCCTAATGTTTTTTTTTGGAATTGGCAGAGATCAATCCAAGATGAGATCGATAGGGAAAGCAAGTCGGACGTATTCACCATTCTTATCAGCTATTTCATCATGTTCGTCTACATTACCATAGCCTTGGGCCATTTCCGATCTCTCAAAACTATTTTGGTACAAATATTTATTTACGAAATATTAAATGTTATGCGCTACATGACAAGATCGCTAAAATTATCGATAATATCGCCCAACTTAACTTTTCCAGGGCCCTATTTAAAAAAAACCGGTTTTGATCAATTTTTACTCCCTTTAACCGGGTATCAAAGAGGAAACCGGCTTACCCAGATAACCCCCTGAAAACCACCCTTAGATTATGAAGATAGAACCGGGCTAAAATGGTCCGATGATTATGGTATCCTTATTCTCTCTGTGTCAAAAACAATCTAAATTGAAACGATTTTGTTTTTTAACCCTAAATTTATCAGGTGGACAGTAAAATATCCATAGGCATAGCCGGCGTCTTAATAGTCTTGGCCTCGGTGACCTCATCCCTCGGAACGTTCAGCTACATAGGAGTTCCCGCCACTCTCATCATAATGGAAGTTGTGCCCTTTTTGGTTCTGGCCGTTGGCATCGACAACGTTTTTATCCTCGTTCACCAATGCAGGGTAAAAGCATAAAATAATTATTACTATAAATAATAGCTATTCTTTGCACATTTCTTTGAGTCGTTTTTCTGGATTTGGACTCTTTCTATGATAAACAAAATGATTTATATATGCTTAACTGTCTTTTTTTTTTATTTCTAAGATCATATCCGAATAATTAATTTTTATAACGCATGAGGTGGAAAAATATATATATTAATATTTGAAATCAATGATAGTTAACGCATTTATCACAATTTTATGCGTATAAATAATAGAGAACTTCTAGAAGTCCCGACAAGAGCATAGAGCAGCATATCGGAGACGTTTTGGCTATCGTGGGCCCTAGCATGCTTCTCACCAGTCTGTCTGAATCTGTGGCCTTTTTCTTAGGTAATTTTATTTTTGATAAATTTTCGTATAAATATACAGTAAAATCTCTAAGAGGGGACCTCGGTATATTAGTGAACAAATTTCAGGGTTCCATCAACATAGCCGGCCGGTGAAATATTTTTTATAATAAACATTATCCTAAGGTAATTACTGCAAATTTAATTTTTTTCGGTCCCGCTCGGCCTAATTTTTAAAATCTTAATACCGACCCCGTCCGAGACCTGATTTCGGTTTTAAACCGAATCGTGAGGCTCTACCCCATGAACCGGTTTTACTCTAATTGAAAAATTTTACGCTTAAAATCTCATGAAAAATGCTCAAATTATTAGGGTTTATTTTATCCTAAATTTAATAATTTATTAATAGAAATATTTTCGTTTTTTTTTTTTAAAAAATTTCTTTTATTCTTTTATATATATTTTTTTTCCCCTTTTTTTAAAAAATCGTTTACTTTGATTTCAACTCTTTTTTTCCAGGAGCCTTCTCTCGAACATGCCGGCTGTTCTAAATATTTTCCCTTTTCGCTGGTTTAGCCGTGTTATACGATTTCTGCCTGCAGGTCACGTGCTTCATCAGCTTTTTAGCCTTGGATTGCCACAGATTCGAAGTAAATATACATGTATATTAATGAAAGGATAGTCCGGGTTTAGTAGGACTAGTATTATCCGAACTCATAACTTGTTAAAGTCGAATCAACATGTTCAGAGGGTTTAGTAGGACTAGTATTATCCGAACTCATAACTTGTTAAAGTCGAATCAACCTGTTCAGAGGGTTTAGTAGGACTAGTATTATCCGAACTCGTAACTTGTTAAAGTCGAATCAACCTGTTCAGAGGGTTTAGTAGGACTAGTATTATCCGAACTCATAACTTGTTAAAGTCGAATCAACATGTTCAGAGGGTTTAGTAGGACTAGTATTATCCGAACTCATAACTTGTTAAAGTCGAATCAACATGTTCAGAGGGTTTAGTAGGACTAGTATTATCCGAACTCATAACTTGTTAAAGTCGAATCAACCTGTTCAGAGGGTTTAGTAGGACTAGTATTATCCGAACTCATAACTTGTTAAAGTCGAATCAACATGTTCAGAGGGTTTAGTAGGACTAGTATTATCCGAACTCATAACTTGTTAAAGTCGAATCAACCTATTCAGAGGGTTTAGTAGGACTAGTATTATCCGAACTCATAACTTGTTAAAGTCGAATCAACCTGTTCAGACTAGTTGTTAAATAGTTCGGTTTGGATCGGTTTTTTTAAAAACGGTTCAATTAAGCTTTTTCGCCAAAGTAATATCAATATTTGGCAAACAGAAGCCCAAACCTTGACGCCATCTATGAGCTAAATCACCAGGCTTACACAATATCATTTTGGTTTTAGGACCCGGAGCTGGCTCTTCGACAACACTAGTTCAGGCCAGAATTTCGATCGAGTTTAGAAACCCTAGTGGAATATCTAGTTATTTTATTATCAAAAATCAGATGCAACTGACCCCCTTTTTATTTTGATTGTCAGGTTGTCTAAACCGATTCTGGTTAACCTTCTCTAGTCCGAAACCTATTTTGTATCCATATACTGCTATTTTTTTAAAAAAAAAAAAAATCAAAGGCACAACGTAACGATGTGTGTTGCTGTCTCCCGCCTGTCCAAAATTCGGAAGAAAACGACGAAGACGATAGTGGACAAAAGGATTACGGTATTTTGTATAATTTCACGGAGAAGTACTATGCACCTTTCCTCTTGCACAAATGGATCAGGCCTATAGTGGTAACATTTAATCAAAATTAATATCATTTATTATTGTAATTATGAGAAGCTTGGTATTGGATTAACGAACCCAAACAACGGCACTACTTCTTTAAGTCTCCCCGCATGAAACTTAACATTTTACTGTGAATTCAGGGGGAAAATTCGGATACAGAACCACTTAGAACAGGGTTTCACAAAGCTTTTTGAGTATTTTTGCTCAAAGATTCACAAAAAAATCTTCGAATTCTTAAGTTTTTTTTGTTAAACCTTGCCCTAGAGTGTAAATATTATATCATAACAATCAAAGATTATTTATAAAGCCTTCAATTTTGAAACAGTGATGAAATATGGGCCCTTAATGAGGGGGGAGGGGAATGCATCAGATGCCAGAAAAGGATTGCCAAGTTGGCATAAATTACTCGTAAAAATGAAAGATAGAAAGTCATGGAGATTGGCAGGTGAAAAAATCAATAGGAACATATTTTTTTTTATTTATTATTTACATCCCGTTTTAATATAAATTTAGATGACAATTTTTGCTGGTTGGATCTGTGTCACCGTAATTTTGGCGAGTCAAATTCATGTGGGATTGGATCAAAAGGTGTCGGTGCCTCACGTGAGTATATTTAAAAAAAAAATTTTTTTTACAAAAGTAATTGATTACATTCTCACGTCAGTCTTTTTAAAATTAATCCAATATGATTGCGCCGGAGAATGATGGAAGAATTTTTTTTGAGGGGGGGGGGGGGGGAGGAGAATTCGACTTTTCCTGATTACAGCATTATACATCTCAATTCCATTTTTCGTATTACATTCAGGATTCCTATGTGCTGCGACACTTCGAATCAATGGAAGGCTATCTTTCTGTCGGCCCCCCGGTCTACTTTGTACTGAAGATCGAGGACGGCCATAAGGACCATCAATTCAAGCTCGAAAATTCTCATGACAAGAAACTCGGGATTATTCGGAATATTCCTCTCATCACCAATTTAAATGCGAGTGACAACATTACCACCACGCTGGATCTGACCCTTCCTCCTCACCAGAATTTGCTTTGCTCCGGATCGGGTTGCCAGAAATACAGTTTCGCCAACATGATAGCCTGGCATTCCACTTACCCCAATATAAGTTACCTGTCGCCCTTGTCCGATGTCAGTTCTTGGATCGACGATTATATCGCCTGGAGTCAGCCGGGGACTGGTTGTTGTCGGATCAAAAAAGTTTTATTTTGCAACATTTAATATATTATTTTATTCGAAATTCTTGTTTACAGCATTCCTCGATCCCTGATAACGTGACCTTTTGCCCTTCCTATTCCGCCGATTCCGATAATTGCGTGAAATGTCCCGTGAAAACGCTCGATTCGAGACCTGTCGGTCCGGATTTCTACAATTACCTCCCTTTCTTCTTGAACGATATCCCTGGACCTAATTGCCCCAAGGCGTAAATATTTGGAGTATTTTGTTTATGTATATTATTTTTAAATGAGTCTTCATCGTAGCATCTTATTTTACCTTCATGTTGGAACAACATTGGAAAATGACTGCCCATAAGTAACACGATGAATTGTTTAAAGAGGGTTTAATTTTCACACTTTTTGTTATTGAATAATTTTAACAATAAATAACATTTATCTCGAATTTGATTTTTAGCCCACAATATTATCTGCCGTTATCATGCCTATTATAAAACAGGACATAAGGCTATAAAAGATATGGAATTAATTATTCATTTGGGGGGGGGGCACATTTTTACGATAAACGTTTCTTGTTTCGGTTTATTTAGTTATGGATATACGATAATTAAGAAATTTCTTAGCATATTGCACCTTTAATTCCAGCGTTCTTTATACAGATCGCATTCGCAGGTCCTTAAGTGATCGCCATATCTTTGAATAGCTGATTTTGCGCATATACAATCTCAGATGTTTTATAGTATTTTCCTTCCATTCAATTATAACGATAATAAGAAGTTGTCTTATTTTGTACCACGAAACTGTTCATAATTAGGAGCAATACAGCTGATATTTGTTATTTTTTATAAATTTATCCCCCTCTTTTTTTTTTGTCCCGAATATAGAGGCAAGGCTGCTTACCATCATGCCGTCAGGATCAAAGGCAATCCGAAGCGACTTGAAAGTAACAATATTTTTTTTCTTCTCAAATTTTGGAGTATACCTACCCTCGATCTACACTTAGATTAATGACGTCACTGGGAAGGGGCGGGGGCGCAGGAGCTCGACCCCCCTTGAAAAATTTTAAGAGCCCTCCCCCCCCCCTTCATTTTTTTTAAAACACTTAATAAAGATGTGATTTAAGCTCAAAAATGGAGGCAATTTTGAAAATAATTTTTTAAAAAATTTTTTGATCTCCCCTGAGATTGTAAGGGCTAGTGACACCCCTGCTTAGTATTTATGTTGTAAGTCTAACAAGGTTTGATTTTTTTTAGAAAAGTTATAACTTTAACCGTAGGTAGTTAGCTAATAATTAAACAGATAAACTAGTCACTTGTAAGTAAGTTGCTACCCATAATTAAGTGTCTAATTAGTTACACTTCGAGTTAAGTTACTCATAATTCATTTTTTTTTTTTTTTGAAAAATACTAGTAACCCGTTACTTATGTAACTTGTAAATTGTAGCGAAAAGTAACTTTAACAACGTAACTTTTCTAATGTAGCTTTATTTAAAGGCTTATTAGGAATATCAAAGGGGAATTTATCAATATTTATTTTAGGCTATCTCCTATAAAACTACGTAATTTTTTTTTTTATAAATTTTCCCAAAAATAGAATTGCGTTTTACAGGAGATATAATTTTAGTATTTTATTTGATAATGTGTTCGGGGAGCTCTCCCTCACTTTGAAACCCTTTAATTTTGCGTGTAAAATTGATATTATTATTCTAATACAACTAGTCTTGTAAGTTGTATACAGGTATTTGTTATCGTAATTATATGTGGCATATATAGTCGCTCAATATCGATATCATACTAGGATATATATAACCCTTATTCATTTATCCATATCCTAATTTACGCCATCTATTTTATTTTATATATATATATATCAAAGCTTGCCACTTTATGGCCTACCACACGGTCCTCAAAACTTCCACGGATTTTATCCGCGCCTTGCGTCACTCGCGTATCCTAGCCGATAACATAACGGGATTTCTTAATAACCACCTGATTTCTGGTTCAAGTTCGGATCTCACAAATACTCCCTTTTCTTCGAACCATTCCAAACTTAGTATCGACTCCAAAAGTGATAACGCGCGAGGTAATTTGACGCGTTTTTGCTCGTATTTATATATTATTTATTTTTAAAAAAAATTAAATTTTTAGGAGAAAAAATTTTAAATTATAAATATTACCGAGTAAATCCCACCATCCCCCTCTAGGAAAAGGGTTATATTACTTATATATTATTTAGCAAATTTTTACTTTAAATCTTTTCTATCGAAATAAATTAAATAAAATTAAAGGGTATATTTGATATTATAATTATTAGAATTATACTGTATAATGGTATAAAAACATATATAATAAATAAACCTCTACCAACAAGTATAAGACAGGAATCTTTAATTTGGAAAACAAGGTCTGTTAAGGAAAATATGTATTCAATATCGAGCATGAAACTTCTATAATAACCGTATATTGAATCGTCATTATTAGCTATAAAAATCAAAAATAAATATAGTATGTATCAAAAAAAAACGGGCCGGCTTAAAATATAAAAACCGGGCCGGCTTAAAATATAAAACCCGGGCCGGGCCGGGCCGTAAAAATTTTTTGAAAGAAACCTCTGTAGGTCTCTGGTTAACACAATGACATATAGTAGTACTTAGGCTGACGATACATTCATTAAAAGTGTACATCAAAAACAGCCGGGGGCGCCATCTTGGTTACCAATATCATTTAAAATTTTTAAGGGAGAGACTAATTTATTACCATGTCCGATACAAACTGTATTAAAGAATTGCCTGATCATCGAGATAAGGAAGCAGGTTATCAATTTATAATTGTAGTTTTTAACGTGAGAATAATTACCATATGGGTTACCAAAATGGCGGCACCATCTGATTTGCATTCAACGACTCTTTCAAATACGTTATTATATATCATCGTCAGTCTAGGTATTATAATATGCCATTGGTCTATTCATATCTTTTTTCATACGCGAATTTATGACGCATTCATTATATTTATTATATATCTGGGAACATTCCATTAAATGACGTCAGAGAAAGGTTGATATCAAGATTAGCTAAAGATAAATATGGAAATTGTACGGAGTGTTTTATATATATATATATATGTATACAATCTAAAGTACAATTCGTCGCCCGAGAATTAGATTGTTCTATATCCACTTTTTTTGTCAAAAATGACTTTTTTTGGCATAAATCAATATTTTTAAAATTATACCATTCTATCTCGAATTAAATCCGGTACAAGGTTAACCATCCTTTTGATTTTAAATTGCTCTCCTTTAAAAATTACAAAAAAAGTGGAGATAAAACATTCTAATTTTCAGGCTACGAATTGTTATTTTTTTTTAAAAAAAAAAATTCATATTTGATTTTGTAAATATCTTTAAAAGCCCAATTCTCGCCCAAATTAGAAGTGTTTCCTTACAGTCCTTTCCACGTCTTTTATGAGCAGTACCTCCTCATAGTGCGGGATTCGCTCATCAATCTCAGCGCCTGCGCTGCCGCCATATTCTTTGTTCATCTGGCGCTTATCCACGGTTTCCACAATTCATTCCTATTGACAGTTCTAGGTTTGATTTTTTTTTTACGAATAAACAAATATATTGTATAATAATATACGACGCTCTTTAGCATTTTTTTTGTAATGGCGCGTTGATAGAGTTACCATTTTTTATTTAAGTTCTCTCTTATGTCGTCTTACATTGATATCTATGTTTTCCGTTCCAAAATACGAACGAAAAACTGGGAATACTCCTTATTCCCGAAAATAATTATTTATCGTGATCAAAGAATCTTCCATTTTTTATTTTTCGATTTCATTGTTTTTGAAAACCCCAATTGAAATATAAGTACTTTCTTCTGTAACTTCTCCTCCTCCGTTTAATGGCGATTTCCGGTTTACCCAAGTTGGCCAGTGTTCCCTCTGATTTAGTCAACAGGAAATTCCTGTAGCAAGGTTTTTACAATCGGATGCCCTTCCTGACATCAACCCCGTTATGTGGTTTACCACCCCGTCTAGGGGACTGTGATCCTATTCGAGACCCAGATCACTGGGAACCTTTTAGACCTCCATTCCCTAAAAGACGTTGCCACGATGAAGTTGAAGGTAGGATTTTGGCGGGTATTGTCTAACATCTATCGATATCATTTCCGGGAATGTACAAGAAATATTCCCACCTTGGCCTTTTTTTTCGCATTTAGAATTTTTCTGTTCTGTACGAAATGTTGCGATGGCTTTTTTAGTTAAATAGAGATTTTAATTATAACATGGGTTCAAAAAACCAGAATCTAATTTAGGAAAAATTAGTAAGGAAATAACATGTTTTTTTGTATTTCGATTTTGTTCGAAAACGTTGACACTATTTAAATAATAATTCCTTTAATTGAGGTATAACAGTTGCTAATTTATTTTTTTAATGTTTTATATTAACTAACCACTTCGTAGCACTTTCCGCCATTTTAGCTGTAACCGCTGGTCAATTGGCTTTCATGCGATTGGTCAACATAGAATTAAACGCCCTTTCATTGGTCAACCTAGTTATGGCCATCGGGATCGCGGTGGAGTTCGTTTCCCACACTGTTCGAGCTTTCGCCGTCGGGGCAGAAAGGATAGCCGTGAGCCATTTTTGCTTCTTTTTTTTTTGAGAAATATTTTCGAAGACACAATTATTTTTAAATATATATATTTAAAAACTTAAAAATCCTTATTGAGAATATTGGTAAAAATAATTTGTATCTCCACATAGGCAGCCAAGTTTGACGATTCAGGACCTCAGAATCTTTAAAATTAATTGTTTTTTTTTAGAAAAGGAAGTAGGGTGGCAGCTTAGTGTTAATGAGAAATGAAAATAATAAAACTAAGGGGTATACAGATACCACTTTTTTGGAGGCCGATCTGATACGATACATTCCTAAATAACACCTATCCAAATAATTTACATATCTGGGTCTCTTTTTTATAATGCGTTTAATTTAATCATTTAAAAAAATCGGGAGAAAAGAGATATTACGTCATCATTCCTCTTTTCGTGATTTATATATGTTAAACATTTTAATCCTTGAGGAAGATCAAAATGAAAAATAACGAGGAGATGTAATATTATATTGCGACCTCCTACCCCCCAATTGCCAAATAATTTAAATAAATAATGAAAGAAAGTGGTAATCAAGTATATGCAGTCCCGGCCATATAGATTTGATTGCATGAAGATGAATAAACCCTTGTGTTGGCTATTGAATAAAAATTAATTTACGAACTTAAGGGAATGTTTTATTTAACGCAGAAAAATCGCCACGCTTACCTCCAACATTTCCCGGACTCTCACCGGTACAACTCCCGTCACCTGACAAGAAGCAAGCTGAGGCTCCTAGCCTCTCATCGGGCTCTCGTGGATACGGGTAGCTCGGTGTTCAGCGGTATCGCCTTGACCAAGTTGCTGGGCATATGCGTGCTCGCCTTTTCCAAATCCCGCATCTTCTCCCTCTACTACTTTCGCATGTACCTGGGCGTCGTTCTCTTGGGAACGCTTCAGGGTCTCGTGTTTTTGCCCGTAATTTTGAGTTATCTCGGACCAGTGCCGGAACCGGAAGAAAGTCTGGAGGACGAAGAGAGGAAAGCGAGAGAACAGCTGGCATCGGCTAGGCAGAAGCGTGATGGTAAGATATTGTTTTTTTTTAAATATTTTATTTGATAAACTAATAGTTTAACTTTTGACAAGGTTTGAGAAGGTTAATCATTAGAGAGAACAAAATACATCTAGTTTTAGTTAGGGATGTAAAAGGAAACAATTGTTGTTTTTTTTCAGGCATAAAAAACGGGAAAAAAAACCAAAGCTTATGATATTGGTTGATTATATCTTCGGTATAAAGGATATGATAGTAGTAAAAAAAACATCCATTTTTGTCTATAAAAACAAACCGGTGTTTTTTTTTCAGACTTAAGAATATGGACGAAATGAACAAGCGTAATAGCATCGGCCTTTTCTAAAATTTTATTGAAAACAAGAACCAACATTTTAATCATAAATTCCAATTTGAAAAGATTGATATACTCCTAAATTAAAATAAATGAAAATTATCATTTAATATAAATGGGGTAAAATATTTATTAAGACAAGTAATTATTGTAAGTAGTGTGACATAATAATTTTTTTTTTGTCAAATTTTAAAATCAGGCATCATTTTCTATTGTATTTAAGTTAACCAGCTTTTTTTTTTGTGATTAGAAAGCTTATTCTTAATTAATTTTGAAAAATTTTTTTTAATTAGACTGCTTTCTTTTGACGATAGACTAGAAAAGCTAGAAAGATAAATTTTTACGAATTACAATTATTCTTTCTTTATACACCTATTTAAACTAAGACGATAAATCAAGCCACTCCGCTTCCGCCCAATCTTACGCACCCGTCTCCGCGGGCAAAAAGGAAGGTACGGTGGTGGCGTCCCCGCCTAAAAAATCGCCGGCCTCGGATGACGGCAAATCCAAACCCAGAAATTTCTCGTCCTACGATAATCATTCCCTCAACGTCGAATCTCACTCCACACATGAGCCGGCCAACCACTCCAATAAGGACGTTGTCGTTGTCGCCGCCAAATATTCCACCAATTCCGGACATCGCAACCAACGACCTTTAAATTTTTCTCATTTTTTAAAGTTACACTCCCTCCATTTTATTTTTTTTTTTAACGTCTATCCAATTTTTTTTTATAATAATAACAGGTTCCTTCCCATTCATGTTTACTCATATTTAAATCCAAGCATTTACAAAAAAATATACCACACCAGCACTATCACCCCCCCCCCCCTTCCTCTATTCTTGTCAAAAAATAACACGATTTTTTAATTGAAACTTAAAATTGCTTAACTTTGATTCATATTCAAAAAGAAAAAATACAAATTTTTTTTTAATTCTTAATATGTTTATTACTGGATATCTTTAATATTATTAATTTTTTTTGTTTTAAATGTTGCTTAGTAATATATATATATGTACCTTACTTTAGAAATTCTTATATATGGCGGGAAAACAGTATGGCCATGAAATTAATTCAAGGGAGTTCTCAATGCACTTTTTATTTTTTATAACATAACGATTATATTCCCTTAAACCCATATTTTAAATTTTATAATATTGTATAATTTACCCCACGCCATACTATTTAACAATTATTAACGGTTAATTTTAAAGCAAATATATTTTATAATATATATTATTTTTATGCTTTTTCGTTTTTCCTATCAATAAAATAAAAATTGTGATGTAACAGAAAAAAAAAATTATTCTTGAATATATATATATATGTCTTTGTATTTTAATAATATTATATTTATAATAATAATAAATGCAGATATGCTGTTTGAGTTAATATAATTTTTTTTTATTTAAAGGCAGCTTAAAAGTAAGAATTCATTAAAAATAACCTTCCAAACAAAGTTGGTAAAATTATCTAGATTACTTATATAAATCTTGAATTTTCGATACATTTATAGACGGCGTTGTTTGTATCTAGATACATATAGGAAGTATCTTTTTAACAACACTCCTTCCAAACATATAAATACCCCATGGTATAACAACCGAAAAAACTCAAATAAATACCAGTTTCGTCTCAAATTCATATTCATTTATTAATAGTAAAAAAAAAATTAAGAAAAATTGTTATGAATCCGTCGTTGATTTTTTTTATCGGCTGGACCGGGTTTTTTTAATTTTTTATCGGCTGGACCGGGTTTTAGCAAACTCATACTTTTCTAAATTCAGAGCAATCGGAAAGTGAGAGAAGTAAAAATAATTTCTTGTACTTTTTTTTAAGGGGGGGTTTAAAAGCTAAACAATCTCTGGAGATCCTAAGGAAAGTTTAAGCCTCAGGACAAATAATATCTCCTCTAGGATAATCTAGAATAAAATTTTGACTCCATCCTCGGCTCTATGCCTGACCATAAGTCATTTTAATTCCCCACCCTGCCCCCCCCCCACTCTCTTTATAAAAATATCTTGATTTTATACAATTTTAAATATTTGAAAATTAAAATTAGATTAAAAAAATTTTAAGCCTGTCCTTCCAACTCCACCAAATTATTTCCGCCAAACACCTTATCTGCCACGACTATACCGGGAATAAAATAGCGCCAACCCTTCCCTAAGAATTTTATTTTAGCTATAGTTACCAAAACAGGTCTAAATGCGTCTTAGCCATGCATGTGGTTAGAATTTATTTTTTTTAATTATCCTTAGGGTCACCCCTCAAACAATATAGCCCACGTTTCCTTTAGTGCATTAGGATAAAAATTTTAAGAGACAAATTGCTTAATCAAAACGAATCATAATATTCATATTAAAATAAATATATGGGATGTTAGAATCCAGTTATTAAAATGGCAAATTTTTTAGTGTACATGTTTTCCAAAATACAACTCCAATTTTAAATTCATTACTTCAAAAGATCACCACATTTTTTGAAGATTTTTTTGATATTGAACGAGTTTGTGAAAGTTCATATATTAAACTTATGGTCAAATTTCCCGCTCTGGCTGCCAGTGTGCTGCGTAGAGTATACTTATTCCTTTGAATTTTAAAAAAAACCTAGCGCCAAAAAATTTTTTTGAATCGTTTAATTTATATATGGAAAATTTTATTAATAATAATTGAAGATAGCTTAATAAATGAAAGAAATGTTTTAAAAAATTTGTTTAAAAGACTACAAATAATTTAATTATTGACAAAATATATATATTATATATATATATTTTATTGAAAGATCAGGATGATTAAAGTTGTTGATTGGATTAAAGTTGTTGATTGGGCAGAAAAAAAAATTTTAAACAACGCGTGAAGCGGGGTGAATACGTAATATCCGACGAATTTTTAAACATTTGAGTTTGACGGGGGGATTAAACAAGATTTTCAAATAAATGGCAAGTAATCTAAATAGGGAATAATCGGCACAATGAATGTGATTTACTGAAAAATTTGCAATAGGATTTACATTGTCCACTCCACTCCCCCCCCCCTCCAGACTAGCTCTTGAAACATTTTATTAAATCAAATACGGGTATTATAATGGCTCATTCCAAATCTTGCACACACCCAAGTTTGAATTCCCTTCCAAAAACCATCGCGATAAGGAATTATTCTTACATTTCAGAAAGTTATATTCATTCAATTATTTCGCATATGTCTCATTACGAATCGAACTTTGAATCATCGAAAAAGGAAGGCTATGTTGTATGGACCAATCGGTATATTTCCAATGAAAACATTCTCCAACTTATCATCGGGTCGGAATGATTATTATCTAAGAGCGATTCTAGTTGCGAATATTCCTTGAGTTTTTGGTTCCAATATCTGATCCGCTTAACGATTATCCTTAGGTTCTGATTAAAATTTTTAAACTTCGATTTAGGAATCATTACAGGCCATAATATCATTTTACATCTGTTTTTTTTAGATATGTCGTCATTTTATATATAATTTTGTCTGTATATATTATCCTGTCGGAAAGATGTTAGAAAGATTGATTTTTTTTAGTTTAAGGGGGACTTTATTTACTATCCTTTATGAAGTAGAATCCCATTGATTCAAATATATTCCCATTAAAATTAATCAACTAAACGGAATATGCCCACTTATTTTTGGTCCTGATCGCGTTAGATATTGCACTATAAACTTGGCCCCCAGTATAATACTACCAACTTTAGCAACACGTGTAAATTACCTAGAACAGTAGTAACAAATATAAAACGGCTGTTTAACATCTCATTTCTTGAGCCATATCACTATTATAGTGAAATTTAAAAAATGGGGGGGGGGGAGGGTTGAGGAGGGTATTTAAAAAGAAAAATGGCTACCACATATATTTGTACATTTATAAAATGTCATAGGATTTCAAATTTAAGTTTTCCCATACTTTGTTTTAAATGAACCCCAATTATTATAATATCCTTTCAAATATTTAGGTTCGGGCCGGATTTTCCGGTTTTTATATTTTCAGGCCCGACCCAAATTTTTTTTGTAAAAAATTGAAAATACCGCTATGTCCGGTGTAAATAAGGCTGGAAAAAAAAATAAATATTTCAAAAACAGCTTTTTATATACGGAAATAAGATTGTATTGAAAATTTGTTAGAAAAAAAAACTCATTTAATCAGTTCACTCTAAATTTTTATAATATGCACGAAAAAACAGGGGGAGTCCTTTTATATACAGGTAATGCGCGACGGATGTTTCGCATATTATTTGAATCGCAATATTTTACGGTTATGAGGCTTTGCGTTTTCCAAGTGTTCCCGCTGTTGCGTATTAGTTTAGTTTCTCGTGATGATCGTAAGTTGTATATTAAGTTTTTTGCGTTATAGCATTGGCTACCTTAATGGTAGAATTGGCTATGGAATATTTTTAATATAGGAATAATTAGGGTAGAATTCATATTCGAATTAGAAGTAGCCATACCTGAGAGTGACTAGTGTTGTTAAACGGATCGATTTGAGCAGATTTTTTAAAATCGGCCAACTCAACATTATAAGCCAGGGAAAATATTGCCCCAAGAAATTTAATCGATATCAAATAATTGTATAAACATTTATAAATTTACATTGTGAATTAGGGGTGGGATCAATACCAATATATTATTGGTTTACAATACCAATACCAATATAAACCAATATATAATTAAATATTGGTATTGTTTTTACAACCAATATTAATATCAAATACCTAAATAGGATTGGTTTTGATATATTGTTTAAATACAATTTTAACCAATACCAATATTAAAAATAGATAAATATATATAATTATTTGGTTTTATCGTGGATAATCATATCATGGTATATTTTTTTTTTACTTTCATTGTTTACTTAAACTTAGTACATCCGTTATTTCTTTCGAACACTACTGTGATATCAATATTAGGGTTATATTTTTTGGTATGAAAGTAAATTTTCTACATGATGTTTAACAATTTTATTATCTATTCATTTAGGATATTATAATGAACGAAAACCAAATAAGAGTTAATAAAATATAGATAAAATGCTGTTGATAATAATGGCGATAATGAATAAGAAGAATCATCAATATCTAAATAAAAACGAAATACAGCAAGAAATCTAGGAACTTTGTACTAGTTGTGATAACGATAAAAGCCTCTATTCCCCTAAGTACTTGGAACCCGAAGGATTATGGACACATCTTAAATCCATCCACCCAACATTATATAATTATATAGGAAATGTGAACAATTAAAATAATGGCAGTAAAAAATGATTAACACAATAAAAAAACATCATATTTAGTTAATAATATAAAAATAATAAAGCTAATTTAAATCATTTAATTATAGACCTTTTTTTTTGTCCAAAACAACTTAGCCTTTTCAAAAGGTTGAGGGATAATCCCTTTTAAAAATTTAACAAGCATAATTGTTACCCTTCACTAAACATTAGTTTCTAAAAAAAATACTAAAAAAATAGAAATTATAAAACATTTATCATAGTTAGTTCTTTTATCAATTTAAAATCTGTACTTTCTAACATCTAACATTACATCTAAATATTTTCCTTAACAATGGACATTTTAGGGTCCTCTCCAAATAAAATACCTTCTATGGACACATAGCAATTCATTATATCGATAATGATTTTAAAATTAAATACATTTAATATTGATTTTCTTCCCTCTTTAAATCAGCACATAATTCTATTAATATTTATAATATTTTTAAATTCTGTATTAAGATTTGTTTTTATGTATCGCTTGCTACATTTAGTCAATGCAATGCAAGTAATAATTTTAAGCATTTCCAAAAATTTTAAAACATAAAGTTAATTTTGATAATGTGTGCAAATGCTCTATAAATAATTACTAATTTATAAGTCTACTAAAAAAAATGAAAAATATAAATAATTTTAAAATTACATTTAATAAAATTAAAATTTATTAAAAAATAAATAATATATAACATTTATTTTAAAAAAATATATTTTGCTTTATTTAATTTTTTTAAAAAAAAGTATCTGAATAAACTTAATCCAATTTGAATAAATAATTATTAATATATATATATTTCTCTTCGCAAGATGGCATTATACATTTAGAAATTTATTTTTTAATTTTAACCGTAATATGTTAAAATTGTTTATAAAAATAAAGAATGAATAATTTATTTATGTCATATATAGTCAACGATATTACTCAAAAATTAAGAAAGGGGGGGGGGGGGGGGGGTTAGTGTGGATATATTTTAAATAAGAATTTGGACCAATAATTATG